GGAGGAGGCGGAGGGGGGCCCGTGCTAATTACATAAGCAAAACGTAAATAATTCGCGGGAAAAAGTGAAAAAGATGGCGCCCCGCCTCACCCGCCTGCAGCGCGGCTAGCCGGGGCGCAGCCGGGGGCGGCCTGGGGGGGACCCCGCGCCCCAGGCACTGAGCCGGCCGCGGGCAGCGCTCTCCGCCCCCCGCCCGGCGCTGAGCCCCGAGGACTTGGCGGAGCGGTAAGGGGGGGGCCCAGGGGGGGGCCCCGGGGCGGGGGGGGGGGGGGGGCCCCGGCGGGGGCTCGGGCAAGGTTTGCAAGGTGATCGGGGGGGGGGGGGCTGCACCGACCTGCCGCTGCCGGCTCGGGGAGGGGGTGTCCGCGCTTGGAGACCCCCCCCCCAAGACTTCTTGTATCTCGTAGGTTTATCTAGGTTTTTTTTGGGGGGGGGCCTTTGGCGGATGCTGACATGCCCCCCTGCCGGGCTTGGCCAGGGGCTGAGCCTGCTTCCTCGGGGGGGGGGGGTTGCATTCATTTACCCCCCCCCAATGGAACAACCCCCCCGTCCCCAGAGCGATTGTTAGTTCGGGCACGTCGGCGGCTGCAGGAAAGTTAGCGAGAGAGGCGAGAGCGGTGCCTTGTTCCACGCGAGTTTGGGCCCCGCGTGTCTGGGACGTTGTGTGCGCCGCGTCCGCCCCCCGGCCCTGTCTGGGGACCCGTTTGCCGCGTGACTCCGGTTGGCCGGGGACCGTGTGTGTCTCACCCCCCCCCCCTCGTCCCCCCCCAAAATGGATTTAATTTTGAATGTTTTTGAATCAGCCAATCACAGCTCTGTGGGCGACCGGCTCCTAGGTAAGTGCACGCAGCAGGGAGATTTGTTGCAGAGTAAGAAGGGGGGGAGGAAGGGACATGGGGAGGGTGTGAGTATAGCTGGGTGCCCCCCCCAATTCACAGAGTATAGCTGGGTGCCCCCCCAATTCACAGCGCTGCCCCCTTCCCTCCCAGCGCTGGGACATGGGGCGCCCACCCCCACCCAAAGCTCTTTTCCACCCATCCAGGGGGGCCGGGGGGGGCAAGACGTGCCCCTGAATGAACCTGCCCTTGCTGAAGCCAGGGGAGGCTGGGGAGCCGGCGATCTGCCAGCTGCACTTCCCAAAGCACCGCAGAGCCGCGAGGACCTGGCTCGTGTCACTGCCCGGGCTGCCCCCTCGCCTGGGCTTTGGGCACAGACCCGTCGTGTGCACGTCTGAGTCCCATCTGAGCGCTGGCAGAGGCTGCCCTTTGGAGGGCTGAGTAATTAGCGTAGGAAGCTTTTCCTTGGAGAGGCCACAGGGTCCTTCCCGAAAAGGGGATTAATGTCTCTGGAATGTAGGAGAGTCTCTGACGTTCCTCGGGCTGGCAGCGATTTTTCATCTTCGGATATTCGCTTCCTGGCGCGAGCGGCAGAGGCATTGCTTTTATTTCTGCTGGGAATGGGGGCCCAACTACAAACCCTCCTTTTTAACTTCAGTGAAAGGAGAGACCGAGCCTTCCTGGGCCGGCTGCTCTTCCTGTCTTAGCTATATTCTCTGTGAGATGCAAAGAAAAGGAATATGATTCCAGCCATTATTCTGGAAAACAAGGGAGGTATTTTCAGTTTGGGACTGACTGCCTTGGACTTGCCTGGAAAGGCGCCCTGCTCTCTAGCAAATATTTAACAAGCTGGGAATGTGTCATTTCCCAGGAGTAGCCCAGCTTTGCTTGAATAGGGCCAAATCCAGGGGGGGAATCTAAACTGGTGTTTGTCGATTCCTCTTCTAGCCCACTTGGTGTGCAAGTTATACCTATTTAGACTCACCTGTGAATCCTCAGGAAAGATTTGCATTGCTTGGGCGTATCAGGCAATGCCAGGGGCCTGTGTGAGAAAAGATCATCCTGATGATTACACTGAATTAGGGGTTCCAGTCCCCATTCTGGCAAAATTCCCATTGATGTCAAAGGGATCCTCTCCTGAGTGAAGGCTGCCTTTGATTCTTAGCTGGTAATAATAGCTAAAGGCTGGATTCTCATACTCTCCCTGTTGGGTAGCATCTTACTTCACAAATGGTCCTGTGTGGAGGGCCCAGTGAGACTAGAGCTGGGAGAACCGGTACGGATACATGACTTGAATCTTTGCCCTGAAACTAGACGTTTATGCGTGAGGGATGGGGAAAGGAGATTTTTTTTTCTTTCCATTCAAATGTTATTTTTTGCATGCTTTCTGCACTTCCGGGTTCTGTCCCAGAGCACAGACACCAAGAGCGAGTGAGGCTGCTCTCTAGGAATTTCCGGGCTAGTTCTGTGGATTCAAGAGGTTAAGATAGTTGGGAAGAGAAACCTTCAAAATGAAGTTTGCCCACTACTCGTGGATGGGAGTTTCAAAAGCCCTGACCTCCCTTGCTTTAGCCTTTCTGTCTCTGTAACTCTGGTACCTGCTGTCTGTCTCAGAATAATAACCTTACTAAACTGAAGGCCAAACCAAATTCCCACTGAAGTCAGTGGGTGTCTCCCATTGACTTAAGGGGAAACTGAAACATAGTCTGGTTTAATATGAAAACAGATCAGAGGGTGACTTGCATTTTTCAGTGGCATGTAGCAGCTCGCTGATGTGATTGCCCAGAGATCATGCTCTATTGCGGGGTTTGCTTTGTTTGGCTACATTTGGACAGACTTGCCTGAACTTTAGTTGAGAGACTCGCTAACCACTAAAATTTGTCTCATCGAAGCTGTAAATCTTATTGGTAGTTTGCAGGGTGTATTCATGTTTGCGTGCAAAGTCCCCAGGGTAAAACACATTGAGTTGTTTATATTTTAAATCAATTCCAGGGCATAAACTAAGGCAGGAGTGCGTTTTGCAATTAAAGGGACAGTATCAAGATAAAAATCGTATATCACTCAATGATGTTGTCTCATCTGTGTTTACTAATGATATCGATGATTATTAAAACTGAAAGTATTTTAAAAATCAAATTTACTTGATGCTATTTGTTTACTTTTTGCTCTTCACTTCTTTAGGGGAGTGAAACTCGGCTGGTCAGTATCACTTTCTGTTTAAAGTCAGTTTAATTTTCATGCTGGTGCCTTGGTCAGGTGCTGCTGGATTTGGGGTTTATTAAAAAGTGCAGAGAAATGTTTGAATTAAAATTCACAGAAATAAAAAGTAAATTCTGTCAACCCTTCAAACGCATGCCTTTTGGCCAAAGTATTTCAGACCTGACGGAGCCCTCTGAAATGAGTGGTGCCAGAGGAACTCTTCTCTTTGTTCATTATGATCTTAGCTGTATCCCCTTTCCCTTGGGTTTGTTAACTAAAGGCTAATATAACTTGTTTTCTCAACTATAGACTGAGACCTCTGGTTCTAAAAGCATACGCCTCTACAGCTGGAGCTAAAAGAGTGGCTATTAGCCAAGGCTGACGCAGGTTCATCAACCTCTGTTTGTGGCCCTGACACTACTATAGGGGAACAGAATGCCACACTGAGTGGGTTACACTAGCAATAATCCTGTGATATGCATAAGATCTGCAACATTATAGAGACAAAACTCCCAATAAAGTGGGTGAGAGCTTTGCCTGATTAAGGATGGTGAGACTGGTGCCAACGGCTCCCAGGACTGGAGAGTTTGCATCATCAGAACTAGCTTTTCCCTACGTTGTGATGGAAAAGTCACTGAGTGTGTATTTTATTGGCAGTGTCTGCTGAGGCTCATGGAGAACGGCACACACAACCCAATCATCCGAGATGTCTATGCAGCTGCCAGCCACCTGCAACAAGCAGCGGTCAACTCTTCTGCGAATGGGAGTGGCTGCAAAGATCTGATGGTCAAACTGACGGAGGGGCAGTATGTGCTCTGCAGGTGGACTGATGGACTCTATTACATTGGAAAGATCAAGAGGGTAAAGTAGGCGTTCAAAGCTCTATGCAATCTAACACGGTTCTCTATTACTTACTTATATACCAGAGATGTGCTTGAATCAGAACCTAGATCGAAATGCTCCAAGTCTTACTGGGGGGCTGGACTCTGAACCTGGATCCTAATCTGAACTTCCCAGCAGATCCTAATCCCAATATCTCAATAATGGGAGTGACCCAAATCCTGCCTTCAAGTACCCTCAAACTTTGGGTGTTTTGAAATCTGGATTCAGGTCCCAGTTTGGGCGAATGCATCCGTCTCTTTTTAAAGAGCTAAACAGAAGCCCCTTTTCTCTGCTAACACTAGACCTGTACAAACCTTCCTGGGCTCATTTCCTAAGGGCTTCCCAGGCTAAGCCTTGCAGTTTGCTTCACAGGGGACTGACCCCTGTAAATCTGTTTGGAGGTTTGTCAGACTCCAAGAGCAACTCCTCCTCCACGTGCGCAAGTCCCCAGTCCTATCTCCTTCTCTCCAGGCCCCCGAGAACAGCTGCTTTCACATACGTTGGCATGGGCGGCGGGTATAATAGGCATGGGGAGGTATTGCCTCCCCTAGCACAGCCGTCCCTGCCGCCCGACACCTGGGCCCTGGTGCCGCCCCCCCCCCCCCCCCTTCCCCTCCCTGCCCGCCCCTCCCCCGCGGCCCCCCCCCTTGCGGCTGCGGCGGCCGGGGGGGGGGGGGGGGGGGAGTGAGGAGGTGAGCGAAGGGGATCCCTGAGTAACTTTACACAGTGAAGTATCAGAGGGGTAGCCGTGTTAGTCTGTATCCACAAAAAAACAACGAGGAGTCCGGTGGCACCTTAAAGACTAACAGATTTATTTGGGCATAAGCTTTCGTGGGTAAAACACCCACTTCTTCAGGTGCATGGAGTGAAAATTACAGATGCAGGCATTATTCTATTGACAGTATAATGCCTGCATCTGTAATTTTTCACTCCATGCATCTGTATATTTTTGTTGGAAGTTGGCATTTTATCAAATTACCTGAAACAAAAAAGCCCAGCAACATATTTCATGTGCAATTTTATGGCAACATTTGTACTTTTTATTTCCCACAAGTTCTAGTCTTGACTCTGCCACCAACTTCCTGTGTAATGTTGGAAGATACATAACCTCTCTGTGCCTCAGTTGACTTACCTGTAAAATGGGGGGAAACCTTAACACATGCCCAACTGTTGTAAAGTAATTTGAGAGCCTTCCGTGGAAGATGCTGGCTAAGTGTTAACAGGAAGAATAGGCTTGTGAAAGCTGTCCAGGGTCAGTGGGACACAACCAGTGATTGTGCTGAGATGCTAAACAGCCCGACTACTGGGGTTAAGACCAATTCTGCAGGTGGGTGGCTTGGCAGGTTTGGGGACTCATTCTTAGGCTGCTGGTTTCCATCCAGCCCATGTCAGTGGTGACCAGAAATCATTTCATTTGATGGCTGTTTGGTGAGATGAGCTGCACTTCAGTCCAGTTTCTAGAGGGTAAGCAGGTCGTCACATTAGTGGGCTCCTCAGCAGAGATGCCAAGGGCTGGATGAGTGTGGGAACAAATACTCTCTCATCTCTCGATGGTATTCCACAGCAGGGCTGGGCACTGGTGCTGCCCATGCGTCTGATAGGTGGCAACACAGCCAGCTTTGGTTTTCAGGGCTGTTAGTCTGGCATCCCTCACCAAAGCAAAATGCAACTGGATGTTCCTTTAAAATTCACATGCTGCAGCGAGTTCCTGCAGCAAAGCTGTCAGAATGTTGTGAGTTTAAAAAAATGCTTAAAATGAAGGGGATAAAATTGCACCTGACGTCTCTCTTGTTTGCACAGGTAAGTGGCTCCAAACAGAGCTGTCTTGTGACCTTTGAAGATAACTCCAAGTACTGGGTCCTTTGGAAGGATATTCAGCATGGTGAGTGACACTTTGGTCTCTTCTCCTGCCCTGGGTTTTTTTTAAACAGGCAGGGACCAATCCCAACAGGGGCTCATCAGCTTCTGCTCCTAAGGATGGACCTGAAGGCCCCCCAAACTCCCCATTTTCTCTTGTCTTGCTGGAGTGGCTTTAGCTGCATGAGACCTGGACGCTGTTTATTCAAAGGTAGCTCTGGGACGACATCTTCCATGGCTCTCAGCTGACTCCTTTGCTGCCCTACACTGGCTCTTCATTTGGCAGGAGTGCTGGGATCTTTACCCTGTGGGTCACCGAGCATGGGTGCCAAGTTAGATGGTAGGTTTTGGTATAACATACGTGCGATGCAGCATGACTCCGCCTCCCCCGCCCAGACTCATCTAATGAATGCCCCATGGAAACCTACTGCCTAGGCACCGGTCCCCTTCTTGCAGTACCCCCATTCCCTGTGCGTAGGATTTCTGCCCCACTCTGCGCTGCATGCAGACGGGGTCAATGCAAATGCCACTAAAGTCATTCTGTTCACGCGCTGATATTTCTGATGTGCCAGGTCTGGATAAAGGCTCCAAATGTACCTTGCTGGGATCTGTGGGATGTATTTGCATCACTGCATGTAAAAAAAAAAAAACCCCAAACAAACCCAAAAATGGCATTTTAACCCTTTCAGTGCTGCCCAGAGCAGCAGGTCTGTCCAGAAAATGAGCTGTTTGTCTGAGTGGACATTCCTTTAACCCCGTGGGGCCGTTTGTTTGACTGGCGATCTGGAAAATGTTAGGCGGAACAAGAACTGTTTGGATGTTCTGGCTAGACTAATGGTGGTTCGCTGGGCTGTGTTTGTCTCTGGCTGGTGCCTGCGTCATGCCCAGTGGCAGGACTCTTATCTCTGGCTTATGTCCTGCCTGTGTGATCATTTGTTTGGAGCTGTGAATTTTGCCGATGTGCCTGGGTTTTTCCAAAGGGGGATACTCCTCGTCCTAATGGTCGAGGGAGGCCGGGTCAGGAGTCCCAACAGAGGCCACGACACGTCTTCCCGAGGGCTGGGTGTGCTCTTTAGTGAGGCACGTCTCCTGCTGCTCTCGGGGGGGTTGTGTGTCTGGTACCCGCAGAACCCTTAGCCACTGGTGGCCCAAGGAATGAGAGACTGGAACTAGGAAACAAGCCTGGGTCTCGTGTGTGGCAAAGCAATGCTCAGCAGCTAGCAACGCTCCCAATCCCATCAGACTGGCCTCCGACGCTGCTGTGTCACCTGGATGATCAAGCTGAATAGTTCTAGTCTAGAAAAAGCAGATGCCTCAGCTGGTGCCTTTGTCCGCCTAGGGCGACATTCCCCCCTGCCCTGTGCAGAAGACCAACGCTTTCGTAGCAGCTCTGTTTACCCTCTTCAGTAGAAATGCTGAAAAGGATCCAGTTTTTAGCGTTTGGGGAGGGTTAAATAATAGGATAATTATTCTGGGATAGGTTTCAGAGTAGCAGCCGTGTTAGTCTGTATCCGCAAAAAGAACAGGAGTACTTGTGGCACCTTAGAGACTAACAAATTTATTAGAGCATAAGCTTTCGTGGGCTACAACCCACTCTTTATTCTGGGATAATAAGTGGCATTTATAAAGCACTGCTCATCCCATAGAATGCCATTTACATTTTTCTTTTTAAACAAATGTGCAGGAATAGCTTCATCTTCACTGAACCGGGGGTGGAGCAGGTGTTTGATGTGCCTCTGGCAAGCCTTACACCTCAGTTTTAGGACAGGGAGTGAAGGAGGATACCGTGCCCTGCAGGGACTATGGTCACATGTCATTTGCTCTGGAGCAGTCCCTCACCTCTGTGTGCAAGGGATGGAATCTGCCCTCAGGTGATTGTGTGCTCATGAGGGGTGGGCTGTGAATGTGCGTAGGAGTAAAGGTTGGGATGAGCTTCCACTGAAATCAAGCCTCTAGTTTGTTTTCACTCAGTAAGGTAAGCAGTTGGCCATCCATTTGGATGAAGGATGCAACAGAGATCCTAGTTCCATGCACCTGTTCATAGCAAGAAGAAACCGAGGAAGAGAAATATGGCCTAGCAGCATTATCTTGAAATAGGATGACTTTGAAACTTCCCTGAGACAAGAGCACGTCTTTAAACCTTTCACTTTATTTCTGATTCAGAGACAAAGGGTGAAATCCTGACTCTATTTTAGTGAATGGGAGTTGCACTCTGAATATATAAATGCTGCTAGAGCCTGCGTCTTTTCTCACACCAGTACAATTCCATTGACCCAATGGATGTACTTTGGATTTGCCCTGGTGCGAGTGAGATGAGAGTCCGGTCCATAGAGCCTATTTATGGGCTGCCTTGGTACAGAAGTCTTGATTTTGCTAAGGCAAAAAAAAGCTATAAATTATCCTGCGCTTGGATGTATCTTCACAAGCGCATGTCAGGGGAATGATGTATTTTTTTCACCCCAGTTTTCTGGCTCAGCTGTATGCGCACTTCAGTGTTTTGCCAAGTCTGCGGGTGTAGGGGCCAAGACAAAATCTGCTGGTTCTGATCCAACAGGTCAGTTCTTAGCTGGAGTTTCTGCAGATGCCGGCAAGCCTCGCTTTGTCACAGGTGTCCCTCCCAGACAGACCTGGGAACGTATGTTAGTTGAAAAGCAAATATCATCCTTCTTGGGGGGGAAACTATTCTGCTCTATGACCCAAAGTGGTGTCTGAACAGAAGACTGTGCAGGTGTCCAAGGGGATTCTGGGTTGGGTTCCCCATGTAGAATGTTCTGGGTTAGGTTCTAGCCTGCATGTGTGTCTGCACATAGAGGTATAACTGCTGGTGAGCCCGTGGTCGAGCCAGGAAAAGAGCTTAGGAGCTGCCCAGGTTCTTTCCTTTAACCATATAATGTGGAGCGTGTGTATTTGAGGGTAGAAATTGAATTTTGCCAGCAGACCCTCTTCCCCACCCCCTCCCTGGTATTTCCTGCCAGCATATCGGCAGGAATCACGCATCTCTGAACCCACTGCTGTCTTGCTCTTTTTTTTTAGCTGGTGTCCCTGGAGAAGAGCCAAAGTGTAACATCTGCCTGGGAAAGACATCAGGGCCCCTGAACGAAATCCTCATCTGTGGAAAATGTGGTCTAGGTAAGAACGAGTGCTGCTCCAGGTGGAGTGTGATGCCCCCCGGACGGTGGAAACTGCTTCAGATTCCGATGCTCTTCTCAGAGCGGAGAGGGGCCCAGCATGCCTGGTCCCCCTCCTGCAGGCTCTGTGCTGCGAGAGAGCACGGCTGCCTTGCTTTGACATTTCTGGCTGACCCTCTTTCATTTTTGTGTTTTCTGGCCCTGAAGGGCCACAATGTCATTGCTCAGGGAGGGAAGGAGAAAATGAACTTGGCACACTTGGCAGCCCTTTTCTCACAGAGTAGCAGACCAGGATGGAGGAGCGGGGGGTCCGCTTGTCCCCTTTTACACTAAGCTGATACTTAGAGTTTATTAATAAGGGATACCTGGTGAGCAGAGCTGGCTCTTTCCCCAGTACGGCGCCATGTGTCCCTCTGACATACAGTGAAAACAGGTGGCAGTTGCTGAAAGCCAGGTGCCCAGCGTGGCCACTCTCCGGCGGAATCCCCGTTGGCTTCGGGGTCCCAGCACCACTGCGAGACACGTTAGAACCGCAGAAAGCAGCCGAGGAGTAATGTGACGTTTCGTATGTGGTTGTGAGCTGAGTGCGTGGACGTTTGGGGGAATGATCAGGGGGTGGGCTGCATGGGGCTGCGTGGACGTTTGGGGAGGATGAATGAGAGTGTGCATGGGGGGGTAGCGGGCAGGGGTGTTTGCAGGGGATGAATGGAGGGCGTGTGTCGTGTGTGTGTGTATATATTTGGCAGGATGAGTGGGGCTGTGAATGGGTGTCTGTGGGGAGTGTATGTTTACGGGGGATGGGATGCAGCTAATGTTTCCTCTTGGTTCATTGAAACCCCCAGGTTACCCATGGCTCTAATATGCCGGCTGCAGGGGAGCTGTGTCGTTAATGCTGGATGCGTGCTGAGCTCCAGGCTGGCCTTTCTCTAGCAGGGAGAACCTGGCGTTAGCCAGGCGGGGCTACGGGATACCGCTTAATCCTCTTCCACGACCTGTGGCCGATCATTAGTGGCTGCTGTTATTGTGTGTGTTTGCGGCTGTGCTGCACCTGTGCACACACAACCACTGCCTTCTCATTGACCAGCTAGTCTCTGTGCTCCCAGAAGGCTCTTGGCTTGCTGTACACTGATTGTCCCTCCTCCAGGTTATCACCAGCAGTGCCACATCCCGGTGGTGGAGAGCAGCGACGGCCCCGTGCTGACACCCTGGTTTTGTCGGAGATGTATATTTGCCCTGGCTGTACGGGTGAGTGAGTCTCACCCTCCTGCTCGCCAGGTCTCTGGTCCGTTTTGGTTCTGTGGGTGTGGCAGTTTCAAGTTAACTCCTTCCCTTCCAGGGGCTGCCAACCCCAACAAGAACCTGCCCTGCCAGGTGATGTTTGCTGGGCAAACTCTGCAGTGAGTGGCTGCCTGCGCTGGACTTACCCTGGCTCTTGGTGCCGGGGTTAGCTTAGGGGGACTGGGCAGAAGAGCCCTGCATTCCTATGGAGGGATGAAATCCTTTGTAGCTGATGGCAAGGGGACAGGATCCCCCCCTCTGTGCAGGGACAGAAGGGAGCCAGTTTGCATCGCCCCTGCTCGGGGGCTGCTGGTTCAGCACCCGCTGCTGCCTCTGGAAGCCCACCCTAACTTGTGCCCCGTGGCAGGGCACAGAATCATCAGGATTCACCTTGGCTGTGCTCCCCACGTGGGGGCAGGAAGAGCTCCTGCAGCGCTGGCCTAGCTGCCCCTGTGCCTGGTAGGGGGGCCCTGCTGCACGGAGGGAATTTACCGGTGGGGGGCAGGGCAGCCCCTTTGCACTGGCCAAGCTGGCAGAAGGAAGCCGTGCTGCAGCGGGGAAGTCACAGCTCAGTCGAGGTCTCAGCTGAAATAACTGGGGAAAATGCTGGAAAACATTAAAAAGTGACTGTTACTCCTGGGACCTGCCCATTTTAACAGGGGAAAGGGACTTAACCCCATGTTCCCTGCCTCCATGGCGTGCTCCCGTACAACAGCTTTGTTCCCTTTCACTCCAGCCCCCAGCTCCTGCCAGTGGGTGTCAGTGGCCAGAAAGCCCTCCTGAGAGGTCCTCATTGCTACCAGTGCCCATGTCAGGCTTATGGAGCAGAGATGGGCTTAAGCCACAGAGCTCAGCCCTGCACCCTCCGACTTCTGGGGGGAGCACCGCCAGGCCTATATCAGTGTAAAGAGAAATTCAAATCCCAGGCTTTCCCTGGCACTCGCTTCTCTTTGCCCCAGTAGCTGTATTCCATGATGGATTGATTTACACAGTACCTTTCACGGGGATTGAGGTCCTGGACGAGAAGACCTAAATTTTCAAAAGTGACTAGTGATCTGGGGGGCCTGCCCAGCTGCTGCCCTTCAAAGGGGCCTGCTTTTCAGAGAGTGCTGACCCTCTGCCCTGTGCAGATTGGGCCCTTTTAAGGAATCTCTTGCTAGGGAACCCAGACGTGGAGACAGCTGCAGTTGTTGTCACTCTGGTGACCGTCGGCCGACAGGAACCCCAGGCTGATGTAACACTAGGGGATTGCAAATACTGGAAGTAGAGGATTGGGGAATTCAGGAATGCAATAGCAGGGAAAGAGGACATTTTTTCAGCTAAGGCTGAACTGACATTATGGCAGCAGCAGCATGAGTGTCTGGCAGGAGTTGCAGTTGTGCAGCCCAGCACTCCTTCAGCACCTTTGTTAGAAGAGGCTCATTGGGCTTTACCCTGATGGATTTGTTTCCACGCCCCCGCTGGGTATGACACCCATTTTGCAGGTGGGAAAACTGAGGCACAGAGAGGGGAAGTAACTGCTGGGCAGCCTTGGGCTAGTCCAGTGCCAGAGCACCCTGACTCTCGGCCCCCTGCTCTGACTATGAGCTCCTTTCATGCTGCTGCCAAACCTGGGACCTGAGCCTGCGTCCTCGCGGCTGATGGCAAAATGCCCATTGCTTTCAATGGGCCAGGCTCACGCCCCTAGTGACAAGCTTCCTCGTGCATGGCTGTGCTGACCCTGTGTTCTGGTTGGTCCTGCAGAAAGGGGGCGCCCTGAAGAAGGGAGCCATCGCCAAGACGCTGCAAGCTGTCAAGATGGTGCTGTCCTACAACCCGGAGCAGCTGGAATGGGATTCTCTGCACAGGACCAATCCGCAGCAGTGTTACTGTTACTGCGGGGGCCCTGGAGAGTAAGGTCCCAAACTTATTACACTGCACTTGTGGCTATCGAAGATCAGACTTTTAATGGTGTGACGTGCCCCCTCCTCCGGTATACCCGAGACAGCCGTGTCCCTGTGGGCTCAGCTGGGCCTGCACAGCGGCAGGGATCTATGCGAGTGGCTCCGATGGCAGCATCCGGGCCTTACTTACCAACTCTGTGGCTGATGCATGAGCCAGACTAGAACCCAGCTCCCTCTCCCATAACCATTTGCTGAGCAGGGCCAGGGAGAGCGAGACAGAGTCGGAGGGGGACAGAATACTCCAAGGAAGCAAACCAGGTCCGCTTTGATTTCAATCACTGTTCAGACTCAAGCTGCACTTTAGTCCACACGAGCCGGGCTGTTCAGTGTTACTCTAACACCACCTCGGCTCGGTGAGGGAGAGAAACGGAGCTAGCTGGCACAGACTGACTCCCTGGGCTGCTTTTGATCTTTGTATCATGGCAGCAGCTGAGATCAGGGCCCTGTTGTGCCAGGCATGATACAAAACCAGAGGGAGAGACAGAGCCTGGCACACTGAAACTTCCAATCTAAATAGACAAGACGGGCAAAGGACGTGTCATTATCCCCGCCGTATAGATGGGGCACTAGGGCACAGAGCTGAGGGCTTGCCCACGGACGCTGGAAGACTGTTACAAAGCCTGGGACTGGTGTCCCTTAACCACCAGGCCATCCTTCCTCCCTAGGGCAAGTGTGAGATAGGTCAGTTCCCGGGGAAGGCTTTTTTGAGGGTGCAGTTCTCGCCCAATAAGCATGTGTCAGGTTCTGATTTGGCAGTGTTTCCTATTTCCCCCTGAATGTGTCTGCTGAGCAGGGTGCCCTGTCCCCGGGAGGAAGGCGATGGGTTGCAGAGCTGCTTTCCCTCGCTGTAATAACAAGCTGCAGGTGGGAATCCCCCATCCGAAAATAACCCAGTTGGGGAAAGTCACGGACAACCAAAATAACCATCTAGAGAGCTGCTGCGCGGTGCATTTGCAGTGAGGCTTCCTGTGTGCTTAACAGGGAGAGGCTGCTAAGAAAGCCAGCCGCTGAGGTGTGAGGTTATCCGTGTGATCAACATACCATAGCGTGAAAGGCTGTGACCAAGTAGCTTTAGTTACTCAACTTACATTTGATAAAAAATATTGTTGGGAAATCCAGGTCTGGGTAGAATCTGGGATCTTCCAAGGAGCCCCTGGTTAAGTGCCCAGCTCCCATGGCAGTTCAGTGGGGCTGGCTGACTTCTTTGCCTCCTTCAAAAACTCCATCTGGACCCCCTGCTCCCCCTTTTTAATGTAAATGTCAGTGGCGGGCTTTTTTTCAAATACAGCCCTTCCCCTGCAACATTACAAACCCCGACCCAGGAGGCCTGATTCTCCACTGTCCTGCGCCTCGCGCCTTCATTTCCACCAGTGTGGAGGGGGTATGAAATTCTGCCATTCCCGTTTGGGGAGCGTTGCACACCCATTTTGCACACTTACTTTGCCCCGGTGTCAACGCCTGCGCCATCGAGAATTTTCTCCATTCACCTGTAGGGCACCATGTATAGCAAAGGGGATCTGGTCCTAATGCACCTCGTGCCACCTCCGAGAGTGTTGAACTCTGGTCTCTCTTCCCAGATGGTACCTGAAGATGCTGCAGTGTTACAGTTGCAGGCAGTGGTTCCACGAGGCCTGCACGCAGTGCCTTAGCGACCCCATGATGTTTGGAGACCGGTACGTCCTTCTCCAGCTCGCCCTGGTTTGTTCCGTGCATCCCTGAGGGTCGAGCCAGAGTTGTGAATTGGTCAGTCTGTATGTCCTCCCCCAGCTGACTGTTAACACGCTCACAGCTGCGTTGGGAGCAGCTGGAATCAGTGGGGTTGGGTCTCTTCATCCCAGGTGATCGGCTTCCTTCAGGTGTCCTGGGAATTGCTGCTCAGCTGAAATCCTGCCTGGTCGCTTGGCCGAGAGCTGCTGGATTCCAGCAAGTGGTGGTCCGGAGAGAGCTGCCGGTCTGAGTTCACTGACTGAGCGAGTCTCTCCCTCCATCTTGTCTACATGGACACCAGAGCATGGCAAGCCGGGGTGCAAGTCTGCCCTGCTCCAGCCTGCCGGGCACGGGGACCCTGCTGCTGCGCACTAGCAGTTCCCGAGTGGGATATGGAAGCACCCTGGGGAACTGTGTGCAGCAGCGGGGCCTGCATGGACACATGGCCGGCTAATGCGCAGCAGATCTGCACCCCACTTGCTGCACACTAACTGTGTGTGTGTGTGTGTGTGTGTGTGTGTGTGTGTGTGTGTGTGTGTGGACAAGCCCCAGGTGGTGCATTCTCTGGCTGTGTGGGGGAGGGGAGTCCTTGCCCCTTTGTGTGCGGTGCGGGGTCCGTAGCTGGGAGATCGCACCTCACTCATTTCTAACCACCCAACCCGGCGCAGTCAGGGAGCGTTCTGGCCGGCAGCCTGCCAGCCAGGAGACTCTGCCAGGCACAGCAGAGAGAATGGCTTTGCTCCGCTGATCTGAAGCAACTGGCATGGGCCACGCCACACCAGTGCAGAGGCAGGCAGACGAGCCCGTCGTCCCCTCCCCGGGCACTGGTGGCACATCTCACAGCCATGTGTGGTAGGCAGAGGAGAGTGCCACACTGGGGTTGGATTCTGCCTACCCAGCCCAGCAGGCAGAGGGGTGCTTCGGTTCCTCTCTAGCAACCCCCTCTGGCTGACCCAAAGGGCTGAATTTCTGGGCTCTGCAGGTACCTTCTTTGCAGCTGAGGAAGGGAGCGGGGCAGGGGCAGGACTCCAAAAGGGGCTAGAGGAGGGAGTGAAGCCTGCAAGCGTTGCCCGGGGGAGCGGAGTGACTTTGGCCCCAGTCCAGGCCAGAGGAGAACACAGCCTGGCACGTGCAGGGGGATGGATTCTACCGCAGTGATTGCCCCACATGAGCACAGAGGATCCTGCTGCAATGCTGAGACCCGCTGCCCTTTGGGGAGGATGGGCTGGTGGCTGCCACTCCACAAGCCAGAGCCTCAGGCTGTCCTGTTGGAGAGATGAGCCCAAATCCATCCCCCTTCTGAGCTGCCCCCTACCTTACCATGTGTTTCTCTCTCTCTTTTTCAGGTTTTATGTTTTTTTCTGTGCGGTGTGTAACCAGGGGCCAGAATACATCAAGCGCCTGCCCTTGAGATGGTAAGAGTTGGCGAGTAGTCACTTTGGGATCAAGAGATCAGGGCTGGAAGCTGGGGCTCCCAACTGGCGGGGCGAAGCCCTGACTCCTGGGCTGCCAGCCTCCACTTGAGTTTCTCTCTCGCTCGGTCAGGGACTTTCAGAGTTGTCCCTGGAACTGCAGGGTCTACGAAGCGCCTCCATGTGGCCCAGGGTTGTAACTGTCCCTTGGAAGAGCCGTAGCCAAGCAGATGCACATGACGCAGCAGAGCGAGGTCATTGCCTTGATATTGTCTCCTATACCGGAGCGCTATTTACGGCTGCTGCAGGAAGGGTGGGATCAGCAGGGAGAGGGACAGGGGGCCAGAGGATCTTTACTTTATGGAGTATAATACACAGTAGAAGCCGGTGTCTAATGGCTTCCTTTCCCCTTGGTGCCCCTTCGAGTGCAGAGTGAAGTGTCTTCAGCTGTCTCTTTCCTTTGGGAACTTTCTGTGCAGTTCGGGGGTGGGAACAGAACCCCGCTCAGCCCACCTGGCTCCCTGACCAGCAGTTTGATAATCAGGCACCATTTATCCTTCCTGGGCCTTGTGGCTTTCCCCCTTCTGTCCTGCATGCAGCAGGGCCTGGGCTTATGCTGGAGGAGGAGGAGTGCTGAATGTGGCAGTCCCCAGGGTTCCCCTGTTAATGGCATCCCCAGGCCCGCCTAAGCCGCGCGTTGAACTGAAGCTGCATCTTCATGCAGTTACTTGGCCCAGCAGCCTGATCTCACACGCGTTTTTAAAAATCAACGGGCCTGGCTCTTAAAGTTACTGAGCAGCCGCAATCCCAGCCCGTGTGAGCCGATGCAGCCCCGCCGAATGTCCTGAGCTCCAGTCTCGTGAGCATCCCCGGGCGAGGGCCCCTTTCCCCCCAAGCTTTGGGGATCTGTGTGGAGGGGCCATTTGCATTTATTGGTGTGCCCATGATTTATTTTATAGTTTAAGGGTGCGTGAAAATGTTTCTGCCCCTTGTGTCCTGACCTGCTCTTCCAGCCCAGGGCTCCGCACACAGCTTTGCTGATGCCCCTAAATCCCAACCTGCAGAACTGCTACCCATGTTGTTCCAATCCTAGGCCCCTCACTTGTAATTCTGCCGATGCAGTTCACTCTGACCTCCAGCACCCCTTATTTCCCTGGCTAGCTCAAGCTAATCTGGGATTCAATGTGTGATCTTCAGTGCCAGGCAAGCTGGAGGGTGGTTCCGTCCCCTAGGGGAATAGGCCTTGCACCTAAAACTGGTGCACGTGTTTGTGGAGTCAGTTAGGGACTAGTGGATGGAAGTTTCCTGATAAGCAGAAAGAGGGTGATTTGTTTTGTGCCCTAAATGGGGAGGCTCCTGACCTTCCTTTGTGCTCCACAACCGTGGAGCTCCTGGTCAAAGGGAATCAGCTTGTCTATCATCCTGCCTAGTACAGGAGCCTCACACTGGCATTTCACCCTCTCCCTGGTGCAGGGAGGTTGCCAGGATCTTTGCAGCTTTGGAGGCATCATCTGAACAGGCCCTGGCTAGTTCTGTTCTGAGCCTCTTTTCTGACCTGCAAGCCAGCCCGGGGCTTCTCCTGAGCACACCTTGCTCCGGGAGTCAAGCTGTGCGGCACTGATTTCTAAGGTGGCTGGATCTATGCTGCATGCTTGCCCTATTGTATGTGAGCCAAAGTACATATTTGCCAGCAGATAAGTCACCCAGGTGATCTGGCCACATGTCTCTCTCTTTAGTTAAGGGATTAAGTGCAAGTTTATATAGCAGAGACATTATAGGTCAGAGGATAAATAACACTTTCCCCTTCTCTAGGGCTTCTTATCTGAGGATCTCAAAAAGCTTTACATGTTTATATTAATGAATTCCGACAATCCCCCGCGGTGAAGTATGTCAAGGATATACAGACCTTGTTTAACCAGCCACTGAAATGCAGCCACCTCTGGGGTGAAGTACAGTAGCTGGTGAACGGGGTATGCCCATGCTGTGCAGCTGGTTTAGAACAGGGATAGAGGGATACCGTATATAACGGGGGATATGTTTCCAGGGAGGCAGGATGTAAATGCAGCCAGGACCTATTTTGATGTGACTAGGAGCCTCTGTGGCCAGCCGCCAGCCTCCCGCACTTTTGTTTTTCAGCTAATATTAGATCAGCCAGGAATCCCCCTCCCCTCTACTTTCACTGTAGCACTGAGCATGTGGCTGAAACTGACAGAAAGCCAGGAAATTAGGACTGAATCCTGGCACTCCGCAGGTTCGCCAGCCCGGTGGGGCTCAGGTATTTCAGCACGTGGCAAAGCTCCCCGCATGCAGAGCCCTTTGCAGGATTTTGCCAAACAGGTCAACCTAACAGCCATTTAATCCTCCTTTTCCTGGCTCCCCTTTGACAGATTTAAACCAGCCTTTGAGTTATTCCTCTAATCCACTGTTGTGCATGTGCAAATACAATGGAACCTGCCACGACTCTCCAGACCTGCACAGCAGCTACCATGGGGCGCTCTGTCCACGTCCTAGCCAGCATCCCATGCTGCGGATTAACGCGATCTGGTCTCAAGCCTTCTCCATAGTGCAGGATGCACCACTGGGTTTCCATTCATGTCTATCGCACAGATCATTGAGAGGACACGTCTGCTGCTGCCTGCAGAATGGCAGCTCCGGGGAAGGGACAGGCGACTTTCTCCCCCTGCTCTGCTATCAGCCATGTAGAATCCATCCATCAGACCCCCTGAGCATCCAAGGGGTTACTTGGAGTAGGATCAGAGGAGAATGGCAGGAGTGGGGAGAAGGCAGCTGCCATGGGGATGGCAAAGCCAGAGCAGGAAGCTCAGGGTTGCAAACCTGAAGTAAATGCAAGTGCATCTGAAAGAGGCTCCTGACCTAAGTGGGGCCTGCAGAGTCTCAGCTGCTCTTGCTCCTTTGCTCCCGCAGGGTTGACGTTGTCCACCTGGCCCTCTATAACCTGGGCGTCCAGAGCAAAAAGAAGTACTTCGACTTTGAGGAAATCCTAGCCTTTGTGAACCACCACTGGGATCCTTTACAGCTCGGAAAGGTACACACATGGGGCCTGGGATGGGATGGGGGAAGGCAGCTCGGAGGGAATGATAGGCGGCTGCAGGGGAAGTGACGCATGGACCATCCACCCCTTAAAGCCAGGAATGAGGCCAGGCTGACTCCAAAGAAAATAAATCCAGGGTTTCTTTGGGAGCCTCTGTTCCTGTCTGCTCAGGCAGCAAAACGGGAAGCTCCCGAGTGTCACTCAGAGAGAGAGGTGAATTCAGGTGTGTTTAATAGTGAAATCCCGTGGTGAGAAGCTGTGTCTCTTTGCACTCTGGGTGTCTCTATTAGTGGGAAGGACCCATAAACGGCAAGATGCATTTTAATGGCACTCGTTTGCAAAGGATTGGAGCAGGGAGGCTGGGACAGTCGCCTTTCTGTGTGCTTCCTCGAGGGGCACAGGGTAGGAGGTATAAAACCGCCTTTGCCTGACTCTTCCTTGGGAGTCCAGGGGGGTTTGCCACAGTGGGGTGGATCTTGTGACTCTGGATGGACTTGGTTTGTGGCCAGCTTAGAAGCAAATCATTAGCAGGTGTTTGTACAAGGTGCCCAGGCACTGCGGGGTTTGTGGTAATCGTTTAGTCAATGACCGTGTGCAGGGCAATTGGGGAGACAGAGGGCATTACCAGAGCTTGCAAGATTGACTCTCATTCTGCCTGCCCACGGAGCACTCACTTGTAACCCCCCTGGCATGGATTCCATCCGGCAGGTCCCCGGCTGGCAGAGGAGCTGGGTTTTATGGGTGGATGGTGTTGACTGTAGACCTGCTGTAGTCCCCAAGGCAGCTGATTCGTCGGGCAGGGCTGCTGGTAGCTTTCCAAAGAGCCTGGAGAAGGGCTGCTTAACCATTGCAACGCTGAAGTCTGGGGCCCTGAGCAACTTAGCTTCACTGTGGCATGAGGCCCTGGGCAATTGCCCTGCTTGCTACCCCTTAACGCCGGCCCTGGCTTTTATATGCAGAAAACCAGATGTTGTGGCACAGGTGGGCCACGGAGTTTTTATAGCATGTTTGGGGGGCCTGAAAAAGAAAAAGGTTGAGAACCCCGGTCCTAACCTACCCGTGTCAGCCTTGTGGCGGTGTGTGAGAACCAGAGGAAATGGACAAGGCTAGTTTTGCTGTCCAGGCCCAGTGACGTGCAGGAAGTAATTGCAACCGTCATTCGTTTAAAAAAATAGAGCAAAGCAAGAGGAGGGATTTTAACTGTCTTAGGAACCCAGCGCGCTGATGTCCAAACAATAAACACGGCCTGAGCGTTTGCATCCTGGAGGTCTGGGGGGTTTTGTTGGCTGTGCGTTTCTGAGCTTTATGATCAAACCTGCTTAGACCATAGCAGAAAACTGTAGCATGGGCTCCCCCATTTGTTTAAGTTCAGAATAACCATGGTGACTCTAACGAGCTCTCTAGCCCGCGTGTGCTCTGTGCTTTGCTGATCATCTGTTCAAGTTACTGAAATGACCTTTTGGCCAATGCTTTATCCCAGCTGACCAGCACTCCGGCCTCAGAACGTGCTCCACACCTGCTCAATGCACTCAACAGCTACAAAAGCAGGTGAGCCCGGGCGAGGGGACTGTTTGATGCAACGTTTCAGCTTCAGCAGGTGTGGGGAAGCTGGAGGGGCTGAAATGACTGGGTTTGCAGGGTTTAGGTGTTGAGGTAGGATGGATGGTAGAGGGGAAGAGTTGGCCATGAAGACACCCATTCAGAGCTTAAAAATCAATAGATCATGAGGGGATTTGTATCTTCTGCCCTCTAGATTTCTGTGCGGTAAGGAAATCAAGAAGAAGAAATGCATCTTTCGCCTGCGAATTCGTGTCCCGCCAAACCCCCCAAGCAAGCTCCTGCCAGAGAAAGTACCAGGTTTGGGTGAGAATGGAGCTTCTGAGCTGAAGAAGAGAGGAAAAAGCAAATACGCCCATAAAAACGGGTCTGTGTCCACGCTTTCACTTCACACTATCCTCTCCTCCTCCGCATCGGTCCTCTTAAGAAAACTGGCTTCCCCATAAACCCTTTGAGCTTTCCCTCCATAGAATGGCCGCTTCTGTCTTAAACTCTGACACAGAAATGATAAGTCATGGGCTCCCCTGGGTTGTGCAGCATTCTCCAGTTCTTTCCCAGCCACTACAGTAAAGCAGCTTTCCTGGGCTCTCTTGATAATTGTCTCTGTTTCACAGCATACAAACAGAGACATTAGATTAAAAACATAGACACTCTTTCTGAACAGTTGCAGTGTAACATTATTTTATTCCTTAGAATTCAGAACACACAAGAACCCCAAAACAGAGAGAAACAAACCAGGCTGCTCCATAAAACAGAAGCCACAACTCACACCACCTTATTGTAACTGGCTCTTTGCAAACTGACTACTAAGCCCTGGTCTCACACTTCTCTCCAGAGCTCCCTAGGCTGCAAGCAGGACTAGGATTTCAAACGACAGCTCGTAAATTTTACAGTTTTCAAAAGACTACACTCCCCACCCTAGGATTCTCCCTGGCTGCTTGGAACCAAAATAGACATTCTCTATACACCCCCCCCTCAGGCCTGTTACGTGATTTGCAGCCTCCAAGCAAGTCTGACTCTCATTGTTCTTTGTTTGTGTTTGTTCTTTGCTTTCACAGTTTGCTGCCGCATGAATTTCAACAGCAGAAAAGGCGAGTTGCTAGAAGAAAAAGATCAAAATTTTTGTTGGAGGATGCTATTCCCAGTGTTAGTTTCTCGCTACTCTTTCTTTTGTTACTATCCATGATGTTGTTTTTCAGGGGTGAATTATTGAAGTTGTTTGCTTTTTGTTTTTCAAACACGGAACTGGGCAAGATCCCTGTGCTGCTGCTACCAACAGACCATTTAGGAGGCTTGAGTGCTTTCCCCAATTTGCTGTTTTTCCATCCGGCATAGGCTGCGCACTCCCCAGGCAGAGATGACTAATAAAGGCAGGATCAAAGTGCCAATTTGAAAGCTTGCCCTGCTGGCCACAAACCAGCCTTCTGATGCCAGTAACAAGAGGCTCAGAGCAGGGAGTTCCAAATACGTCTCTTTGTTTAAGTGTCTTCTGGTGGCTAGAGCACTGGGATGAAAGTTGGGTGTCTCGGGTTCTGTTACAGGGTTTGCCACTGACTCGGTGTGAGACTTGGTCTCTGCCAGCATGAGGTGTAAAAATTGATTAAACCATTGTAAAAGACTTTGACATCCTCAGCTGCATCCAGTATAATTGTCCCCCCATCCCTCCAAACGCCCTCACAGCTTCTCAGTTACAGACGAGAACCAGGGAAAACGGAACCTCCGCTGGCATGGGACACTTTATTATTTTTAATGAGAAAGGTGCCTTTAAAAAAAGAATGGATGGGATTCCCCACAACCCTCCAACTGCGCCCAGCTCCAAACGGCAGCCTTCTGCATGCCTGCTCTGCAGAGGGGTAAGGGACCGTCCAAAGCACAGGTCATCTCCGAGTGTGCAGGAGGTGGAAGCGGGAGGCCAACCGGGGTAGGAAACGCTGGCTGTGATTGCTCACACCGAGTGATGGCCTGCTGTCAGCTCATGAATATACTCCTTTTTGCAATGCAGAGTGACTTCACCTCGGCTTGGAGCACAAACCACCACCTGGCCAGCATATTTGACTTTACACTGGATGAAATTCAGAGCTTAAAAAGGTAAACGGCATATCTGTCCCAGGGGGCAGTAATGCCTGATGGTAAGAAGAAAGCACGCCGGGTTTCTGTGCATGCGTCTCCACTCTTTGCCATGCCGGGGGTAGCCATCACCGTGATTCGGGGGTTGCCCTCTTCACTCCCTCGCGTGCTGGGGAGAGGAGAGATGCCCAAAGGTGAAAGATGTTTGAGGGGCTTAATCGGACAAATCTCCAGTTCCAGATTTATATGAGGAATCAAGATTTTCAGTGGGCACCAGCTAATCTACTTGTGCCCTGTTGGGAAATGGAAGCAGGGGGGTGGGGAGCCCTTGCTGGCTGCTGGTGAAAGCCCCGTCCTGGCAGCTCTGGAAGTCCTAGGGGTCTGCGCTGGTTACTATGTTCCTGTCTGACTTCTGGGCCTTTAACTAACACAGTGCAGGCCCCGCTGGCTGTCCTGATAGGGACGCACGCTGCTGCTCTCCTGAATGTCCCCAAACAGGCTGCATGTTTTAGCTGGCGTTCTGTTTGGAGCCGGGTCCTGTACGTACGCAGATGGGCATCTGCTACTGACGCAGCCGGAAATGCTGGGCTCGCACAGTGGCTGAGGTCTGGCCAGGGCTGACTTTGGTCTCTTTCCCTTTCAGTGCCAGCTCAGGGCAGACTTTTCTTTCTGACCTGGATTCCACAGATGCTGCCAGCACATCTGGCTCTGCGATAACGAGCCTGTCTTATGAATCGAGGTAAGGGGAGGGGAGGGGAGGGGCTGAGACCAGGTTCTTGCCCTTTGATTTTGCATTGATCTTGACTGCACTTCACTGCTTTCTTTTAATCCCCTTTGTTTTTCCAACCCCTGCCGTGATCCTCATTAACTCTCCATTCACCCTGTCCTTCCAACCTCTGGCTTAGGTAGAGTGATCGGTCATTGGAAGTTATCCTGGACTTCTCTCAGGGCTGGCCATGCTGCCTCCCAACTGCTCTGCACCCAAAGTATTTCCAAGTATTGCTCATCTTTCTCGGTCTCTGCCCTGACCCTAAGCAAACCGGACACTGATTAACTGGAGACCGTCACCAGACGTACATGCCTGGCTGCAGGAAAACCCAGCTTCTATTTTTTAAATCTCTTCACAAGGATACGCTGTGAAGAAGCTGGTCCCAGGTCACCTGGCAATAAGGATTCCTTGACTTGAGGACTCCGCCCACTGTACAGTTGATGTCCACAGCTGGCGGCCAGTTTGTTTGGTGCCTATTTGAGGTCATTAAATAAAACTGCCTATTTTCCTGCCATCTCCTTGGTGGGGTGAGGGAAGCACTGTGGTTAATGCAGAAGGACTGGCCCTGCATTCCTTGGTAAGCAAAACTACCCTTGGCTTACCTGGAGCTGATGGGTGCTTTTACAGTCGTAGGGACAGAAAGACTCGTTATTAATGAACTGGCAGCTTTACTGAACACCTCCACCCTGCCTAGCCATCTCCATGGGATGTCTCCTGCCCTGTAGTCAGTGCTGTACAGAGCCCTGCTGAAGCACTTCACACAAATAAATGGATTAAAGCTCACGAGCCCCTGGGGAACCTGGCATTAGCATCGTTGCTGAAATGGGTCCCTCTAGGCACAGGTGGCCATGTTCAGAGAGGAGGAGTAGGATATGTCTACACAGCAAAGAGACCCGCGGCAGTGAATCTCAGCCTGCGTCAACAGGCTCGCACTACAGGGCTAAAAATAGCGTAGCTGTTCGGACAGGCTCCGAGACCCTCCCCTCTCATTGGATTTCCAGACTCTAGCCAGAGTCTGAGTGCCCATACTGCTGTTTTTAGCCCTGTGAGCCTGAGCCAGTTGACCTGGGCTCTGAGACTTCCTGCTGTGGTGTCTTTTGTGCCATGTAGACATAACCTTAACCGACCCTTGGGAGTCTAAGCCAATGTAACTTCAACCTCCTTCCAGTGCCCGAGTTACAGAAGTTATGAGCCCAATTCAGAGATGAGTCTGATACGATAAACAATCAGTGGCAGAGGCAAGACTAGAACCCAGGAGTCCCAATAACCAGTCCAGGGTCTAACCACTAGACCATGCCTTCCTGTCCTGTAACTCCCCAACAGTTATCCTAGCAAGGGGAGCTGCCTCTCTTCCTACTAATTTGAGCCTCGGATTATTAGCTCCTGGATGGTGGCTAATGGCCCAAAACCTGGCACTTCGCTTCTTGGTGCACGTAAAGTCTCACAGCAGCTGGGACGGGAAACTCACTCGCTTTCATTAGTAAACATCCTCCAGCTCCCTACTTGGCCGGCTCAGTGCAGGGCCCTGTGGGTCAGGAGCCCTTGATATCACCAGGCACATGTCTTGTCTAAGGGCCAGAGCTGCTGCATTGTAGTTTCCTTTTGCCAGCATTTCTCTTATCCCCATCCCCTTCTCTCTCTCTCTCTCCCCTAGCAGAAGGAACGTGGGCAGCCGGAAACGAAAGCTGGCGGCTAAAGCCTACGCCCCAGTGGGGGGGAAGAGAAAAGGCATTGAACAAGGCGGACACCTGAACAGCTGCGCCTCAGAGAGCAGTGAGGCGGCCTGTGCCCCGGAGCGCCAGGATGATGGGATTGACAGCCACACCTTGGAGAGCATCAGTGAGGACGACTCCTCCCTCTCCCACCTCAAGTCCTCCATCACCAACTACTTTGGAGCAGCCGGCAGGCTGGTGTGTGGGGAGAAGTACCAGGTGCTAGCCCGCAGGGTGACTCCGGAGGGGAAAGTCCAATATCTGGTGGAATGGGAAGGCACCACCCCATATTGATCCCTCTGGCTTGGACCAGCCTGGGAAACCTCTCCTAGAATTAAATAGATCTATCAATCAAACAAAACCCATGACCTAAACCAAAGGAGGCAAGGGATGTGGATGAGCAGGGCTCTCGCGCTGGCCGTGCACCGATGCGGGAGAGTTTTGACAGCTCTCCTTACGCTTACAGTGAGTTGTGCAGGCGAGGTTTGAAAGGAACACTTAACGGTCTGGAGCAGGGGATCTCTAGGGAACTGTGAAGGACTTAGGACAGGATATAGCAGAGGCAGTTGGACACAGCGATTACATCCAAACTTACTGTGAGCCGCGGCATCGGGTGGCTAAAACTGATCGAGTTCTTGTTTTTAATGATGGTTATTTTATTGGTCATGTATATACAACTGGCTTCCCCGGGGGACCCTTTGGCTAAGCCAAGGGAGCCATCTTTGTGGAAGTGAGCAATTAGTTCTATGGCTTTTCATTGTGATACTCTGCTGCACCATAGAGGCATGGTAGGCCCATCCGAACCACCCAGCATCTGGCTGATAGTGCACACACGTGTCTGATGGAGCAGCTCTTGTGGTGAGAGGAAAGCAAAGAGGGAAGTTTGAGGGAGTGGAGAAAGGAAAACCAATCTGTATAGAGCTCAAACTATCATCCCCTCTAGTAACAATAAAAATGCTGTTATGCAGAAGAACCACATCTAAGTCCACCAGTGTCTTATGATCACATACAAGCCTTAAATAACAGACCCAACTGGTCTTGTTACTAAAGCAGAAAGCACCTACATAACCGGTTCTATAATGCCTAAGCACCCAAGTATCACATTCTTGTGCTGATAGAAAATGCTGGGCAAGCTGATTCTTGTCAAAACAATTATATAGTATTTACCTCCTCATCATACTCATTCATTAATGGGATACGGATACACACACACACACACACACAGTCACTCACTCACTCACTCACTCTTTTAGGCCATTCACTTCCAGCCACAGGACAGATTTACATTACGGTTGCTATTGTCCCATGACATTAAGATGTAAAATGATGCAGCAGCTCCATTTGCTTATTCTTTTGACAATCACAGTCTTGGAATGAATCCGACAAATGACGTGAGCTTGCCTTAAAACCAAGGAGGGCATTGTTTTGCACTGATGGCATCTTAAGTGAAATGGAGCCATGGGCATTTATTTTTGTAAAGATCATTGTGTTGAATGCTGCCAAATGAGTAGACAAGCCAAAAAAACCAGCCAAACAAAAAGCAAAACAAAGGAAAAGTGACTGTATCTCTGCGAATGAAAGAGAAATGTTTGTGTAGGGGGAGGGAATTTCTGTTGTTGCTGCTTTTGGATACATAACTATACATATTGCTATTTGTATTACCTGACATATACCAGCTGAACCAAATCTTTCTACTTAGCGCTGCATGATCTCTGTCTTTGTTGCTCTTGCATATATAATGGAAGAAGAGGATGTAGCCTTGCAGGGCAAGGAAGGGAGAGGAAATGCAGTAACTTAAGAATCAGAAGAACGAATGTAATAAATTATTGGAAGGCGAGCCATGTTTTCCATTATTGGGATTCAGAAAGTGACTTGCTAAGCTGAATTCTGGGATTCAGTTTGCCTACCTAATAATTGCCACTCTTGTCTAATATAAAGTGATCTTGTCAGGTAGCTTAGACACAATCTAGGTTGTTTTAAAATATATCTATACTTTTACAAGCTCTAATATCAGTAGAAATGTTTACTAGATTTTTCTTTTAAACATTCAGTGAAAAGTTATCCACACTTTCTAGCCTGGTTGTTGAGAACCCAGAGTGAAACTGACAATAAACAAGTGACAAGGTGGGGGAGGTAATATCTTTTTATTGGACCAACTTCTGGTGATGAGAGACAAGCTTTTGAGCTGCATAGAGCTCTTTTTTCAGATGACCTGAAGTTGGTCTGATACATGATACAACTTCACCCCACTTGTCTCTCTAATACCCTGGGACCAACATGGCGACAACAACACTGTGGATAAATAACAGTGAAACTGACAAGTCTCCTTTCATTGTCCAAACTGAGTGAAGTGCAAAAATTTAAACATCTTAAAGGCAAAAAAACCAAACTAGAGTTTGCAAATTCTTTCACCTTTAATAATCCCTAAAGGACATGGTTTTAACAGTGTATATGATTTTATGACCTGGCTGTTGAAAGATGAACTGAAAAGCTCATTTTATTGAAAAAACTTTAAGATCCTGAATCATTCAGTGTGTGATTCTCCCCTAACTGACATGGGTCTAAAGGAAGAGTAAAAACAGTTGAGAGAGGAAGATTAGGCGCCATTTTTAAGCAGAACTCCCATAATAAAAGCAGCACTTCCACCACTGACGTCCAAAGGAATGGCACAACATCGCCTTCACAGCACAGGTTAAAGTTACAAACCAAAGGCCATATTATATGATCCTTAACAAAGTAAAACTCCCATTGACGTCATTCCTCAAATAACATCGTGGATAATCCAAGTTCTGGGGTGGTGGTGGTTGTTTTTAATTTAACCCCCCCCCCCCAATCTGAATTAAGGTCTCCGTATTTCTGTAGCCTGCGTTTGATTATATGTCTGAGACCCAGAATGGTGCATACAGCTCCTTGCTGTCCTTTGAGTGTTAGAGTTTTGGGCCGGATTCTGACTGGATGCACCAGTGTAAATTGGAAGTATTTCCATTGCCTTCAGTGGAGTTTTTCAAGATTATCCCAGAATAACTAGGATCAGAATCTGGCCTGGTATCAGCTGCTGTAGCAGAAGCAGATTAGTCTGAACATCCATCATAGCAGGTTTTCAGGGTGTTTTTTTTTTTTTTTTTTTTTTTTAAAGCCTTTCAATTAATCTGTCAGAAATGATCTAGGAACACCTCGATGGAAAAGCTGCCACCTGTTTGTAAAATGTGGAGTCTGTTGTTGGGACTGGATTTGAATCCAGCGAATGGAAACTGTGGCTTTTAAAAGTCAATCTGTAGTACATCTCTACTGTTAAAATAATCTCTCACCACTGAGGCTTGGTCTACACTACTGTCGGTATAGCTCCATTGCTCGGGGGTGGAAAATCCACCCCCCGGAGCGACGCAGTTATATGGATCTAACCCCCGCTGTAGATAGTGCTGGGTGGCCGGGAGAGCCTCTCCTGTCAACATAGCCAATGCCTCTCGGGAAGGTGGAGTACCTGCACCAATGGGAGACGCTCTCAGTGCTATAGTGGCGTAGCTTCACTGCTCCAGCACTGTCTGTGTAGACAAGTCCTTAGTCAAGTGCATAGAAAGCATTAAAAGACTCTCCTAACGACACAGGTTGTGGGTGAAAAGAAACTGACTTGGCTCCTGAACCTGCATCAGATCGGTGTGGGCCTGTGCTTGTGTGGATCCAGTTGTAGGGTTGGGATCTTTCTATGCGTGTTAGGATGGTTTTTGATTTGGTCTCTTGGGACCTGATCCAAACCCCATTGGAATCAATATGAGTTTTTTCCATTGACTTCAACAGAGTTCGGATCAGGCCCTATATAATTTTTTATATTTTGAGCACAAAAGCTAGTTGTGGGTTTTTTTTTGTTTGTTTTTGTTTTGCTGTTTCCAAAAGCTAGGCTTTTTTGTAATGATTCGAAGTACTGTAGCTATTGCATGTCCTGGGAAATACATAAGTGCTTTGAATGCATCTTTATAGCCAAAGAGGCAATATGAAAAAGACCCTTTATTGAATCTGCTCCTTGTTCTCAGCACATATTCAGGAGCCCCAGGATAACCAAGAGATTTTGAGGCTTTTGGCTTAGAAATGATCGGGGTGGGGGAGGGGAGACATAACCCCATTCCTTCTGTATTTTAAATGTGGGTGTTAGTTGGGTCAGTGCCCATCGCCTTTCAGAGGTGAAGTGAAAGAGACAAGATCCTGACTCTGTCGTGAGCTGCGCCTCACTTGTCAACTTCAGTAGGTTCTGCCTGCATGGAGCTTATAACCTGATCAAGGAATTAGCATTTAAGATCTTAAATCAGTAACAGAATCAATGTGCCTGCTGAAATTGCATGCAACTCCCTTGAAAAGACAGTAGCAGAAAGTCAGTTCCTCCTTTACTTACCTGCCAAGACCCGAAACTCCCACTGACTTCAGTGAGTGTCCCTGAGAGAGGTTTGCAGAGCTGGGGTCCAGGGGCTCGGGCTTGGCTTAGAGCAGTGTGAGGGACCCAGCTGCCCGTTCTGCTCTGGGTGTTGGTGGAGTGCTCAGCTGATGCGCAATGAATGAATCCTGATCTTGCCAGGTGGGGCCTTTCTGTTCATCTCTCAATTGTGTTTCCCCCCTTTGGAAGCCGCGGAATGGGCAGAATAGGCAGCGCAGTGACACCAAGTCCTCAGAAAGCCATTGCACATTTCAGGAACGTCTGTGCCCCAGTGTGCTGCGGGTGTAAACACAAGAAAATCCCCCACTTTGTCACAGGGTGTACGCTTCTTATGTTAGGCCCTGCAAACCAACCAGCCAACCAATCTTCCCCACCCCCACATCCGTTCCAGAGAGGGGAATGTAGAGCCTTTAAAAATGCTTTGTGCCAGAGGATGTTGCATTAGTTCTAATAGATCTTATAATGATTCCGTGCACCTTCTAAAGATTTATGATGTCAAGTTGCTGCTTTTAATAACCAACTTTTGTTATATTCAAGTTGTAATTAATATGTCTGATGTACAATTAAAAAGTCTTTTTTTAACGTCACCGGCTCTTTATCGTGGCCGTTATTAATCCTGTGGTCGTGAACCCTAGAAACTGGGCCATACCGAGCATGACTTGATGGGTTCTGCCGTCTGGCTTATGGAGAGAGGCAGCTCGTATGTCTCTGGGATTCTAAGGCCGGCCACCAGAGTGAAAGGCAACCGCAGGGCTGAGGTGCAGACTGGCACTTTTCAGCATGCTTCCGCTCACTTTCCTCCAGGGGCACGTAGCACTTGAAGGCTGACGTGCCTAGTTCTTAGAAGATGCAGGGCTGCTGAATATGGGACAAGGCCAGAAGGTACCTCCCTAGACCGCTCCCTGCTGGAGATCCTGCACTTCCCTCTGAGCCTTTTGAGCCCTCCCTGACTTGCATCCTGTGTGTGGATCAGCACTGTTCCAGAGAACGCTCCCTTTGAAGTCCGTCAGTATCGTTCCCCTCCTTGAAGGATCACCACATGGTAATGGCACTCGCTCCCCAGTCCCGTGTAGCAATGCAGAATGGGCTGCCTTCACAGAGCCTGTTACTGGGTCAATGTGGTTTAATTTAGGCCGTATACCCTCTCCCACAGAAACCTTTAGGACGTGATCTGGGAGGAAGGAAACCTTTCCTCTAATTCTTCTGTCTGGGGAATGGGGTCAGTCCTGCAGAAGAAGCAAGGAGCCAACCACACGGACATCCTCTACTTCTTAGGGGAAAGGGTCTTTTTACTGCTCCCATGGCTCCATTGGAGGCCCCAGCTACACTACTTCCAAGAGATTCCTACAGGGTGCAGGGAAAATATGCCACCCACTCGATCCTTACTTGCAGCTCTTGAGCTGTGGAGGTTAGCTGCATGGACAGTCGCATGCTGGTCAACAGGACATGATGTGGCTCTTGGTTACCGCATTGCCAACTCAGTTTTATCATTAGTCAGGTGATATTTGGGTTTTACTTAAAGCTCCATCTCCTGGAGTGGTGAGAATCTGTTTTCCGTTCTAGGCCTCCTGTGTATGGGGAGGGAAAAAGCAGGGAAACTTGTCCTGAATGCAGCCTGAAGACTCAGGTACCGGGAAAGCAAAGCAAAGAACCCCATGGTTATTATTTTTCTTTAAATATAATGATTTTGGGGGTCTGATCTGTGACTTTTTTCTTTTTAAATACTTGGGGTTGGCAATATTGTCAAAGCCACGCATGGCTTTGGTTATTCACCCCCAGTATGCGTTTCCTCCCTGCCTTTGCTGCCTAAAGCACTCTTGGGTGTCTGCTTGCATTGGTAGATGGGTGTGCTGGACCAGGAGATGCTATCTGGTAGGTTTGCCCCGACATTTAGGAGTTGTGCATAGGTGGGGAAAAAACCACTGGCAACGTTTGCTTTGCTTTTTGTTATTATTGATTCAATTCTTTCCCGAGCAGCATTTGCAAACGGAACATTGCAGCGTTCTGCTAGTGCTTGAGAGCCAGAACGTGACACTGGGCAGGATTTCTTTATTGGTCAAGTTACCTATGCTGCACCAAGTAAAGAAACAACGTACACAGGGAAAAGGCAGTTTGGTTTCAGTTATGAGCAAATGACCTCAGGGGTTATTAGACACACACACTGGGCATTCTAAAAGCTCGGTCGGTGTCTAGACACCTTTCCTGGTGCCTGTTTTCTAATAACAGAGGTGAAAGTGACAGGTTTCAGAGCGGTCGTCATGTTAGTCTGTATCAGCAAAAACAATGAGGAGTCCTTGTGGCACCTTAGAGACTAACAAATTTATTTGAGCATAAGCTTTCGTGGGCTAAAACCCACTTCATCAGATGCATGGAGTGGAAAATACAGTAGGCAGCTATATATACATAGTACATGAAAAGATGGGAGTTGCCTTACCAAGTGGGGGGTCAGTGCTAATGAGACATTTCAATTAAAGTGGAAGTGAGCTATTCTCAACAATAGAATACCAAGGGAGGAAAAATCACTTTTGTAGTGGTAATGATGCCAATGTAATCAGGGCGGCCCATTTCAAACAGTTGACGAAGGTGTGAATAACAGTAGGGGAAAATTAGTATGGGGAAATTAGTTTTTGTAGTGACTTTTGTAGTGAGTGTGTCATTCTTCACTGCTACAGACTGCTCTGAGGTTTCCTTTCTTTGTTCACTACTTATCTGTATTAGTTGGGCTGGTAGGATGCTGGATCTCTGTTAGTAACTGAGAGACACTGAATGGGGATAGATAACACTGGGCATTTTTAATGATTTGGAACAGAATGCATTGTCTTTAAAGATAGCATTACTTTAGCTAATGTTTCCCCTGGGGGCATTTTTAAATTGATCACATACATTGAAATGCACTTACCTATGGAGCTAAGACCCTCCTTTGCTTTTTTGGGGTATTTAGTTGGCTGGTTCATGAATTTGCTCTATATTCCCACCCAGGAAACTTTTATTTTGGAGCTAAGCGGGCGTATGAAGGGTGGAGGGAGCATATTTGCAAGCTATGTATACTGCTTAGAGGAATTACTTCCCCAACAGTGACATGCTGCCATCTCTGGGTGAAATGCATAAATTGCACAATTGTTCAGGCTAGGATATAAAGAAATAACTTAGAGAATTTTTTCACTTCAAGGTCCCAGAAGCAAAGACAAGGTTTTCATCTCAAGGCCAAAAGACCAAAAACATCAAGACACTTGATCACAGCCTTGGATAGACCAAGAGACTACCTATTACACTTTGATCTTAGCCAATAATATCCAATTTATTCTACAGGGGGTATTGAGGGAGCCAGAATGTAACAACCAATAAACAGCTGCTTAACCTAGGGTTAATCCTACTGTGGAGATAAAAGTAGCTAGAAATTTTTTTTTCATATGGCATTTTTAAAAGTCTCCATGTATTTGCAGCCAACAGCTCAACATACTTTTGAAATAAAAATAGTATACAGGAGTCCAACAGAAGCAGCCGGAGGGATTAGGAAACCCGAGGGAACTCAGACTGGAATTTGGCTAGGACACTAGGGCTAGAACAAAAAGGGTCGTGGGCTCTTTAATTACAACAAGTGGTCAGGACCTTGGTTTTATGATTCATCTGAATAGCAACAGCCCAGCTGTCTCACTATCACTATGATGGCACATTGACTCAGAGGCTGGCGTGCCACCCATTGAATTCCCAGCACTGGTCCCCAGAGCGCCAAGGGGTTCTTGGTAGTTCTGTGACCCAGCCTGACCCTGCTTAGCGGTGTGAAATCTGACAGGACTCCAGCAGCACAAGGGGCTGTAGCCAGTATTACTAAATATGATGTTTTAATTTGCTGTTCATGTAATTTCTAGCTGTAAAACAAAGGGCAGGGTGGAAAGACCTGGCTCTCGGCGTGGGGGAATTCTATGTTTATACTCAACAATGACGTCGCATATCCTATTAAAGGAAATAAAAGCCCTGTTTCCTTGTGGTGTGTGAGCTAGAACTCTGTCAGCGGATGAAAAGGAGCAGATTAGAGATGCATTTTTTCCTATCCTGGATTATCATACAGTATCATGCATACTTTATGTATGCAGCATGGTGGAGATGAGGCCTCTGATTTACAGCAGCACTCATGCGCTTTGTACTGTAACAGGATTAGTCTGCATAGCTCTGATCCAAGAGGCTAAGACATGTGAAAAATCCTTTAAACTGGACCATTAGGCAAGAGGAGCTTCAAGGGAGCACTGAACTGTACGGAGCTGAGGTATTTTAGCCATTAAAGCGCTAGCATTTCACTCTGAGTTTAAAGAGTAGGAGGAAGGTAAAGAATGTAAATCACAGTAGGCTCGCACCCAGTTTGGACCCCAGGAGCTGGGGAGACAGAATTGCTCCAGTTTATTTCAGACAGTTCTGTGCTTTTCTTTAACATGTACCTAGAGCACGGGGCAGAGGGCGACTCTTCACAGAGCAGGGAAGTAGTTCTGCTGGCTTGACAGCCCTGGAGTCTGACATCCTCACTGGCTTTAGAACGGGGCAGCAGAGGTAGCAGCAAACAGGGCCTTTTATTCTGCTGGTGCCTTGATCCTGAACTGCTCAATCTCCATAGTCCAGTCCATCCTTGACACGCTGTGAGGCTGGCATGCCAGGCTCACACCCACCTTTCAGCTTTCTCAGGCGAAGCCAGTGCTCTCCTAGGCGTGTGCAAGATCCTAGTGGGACAGCGCCATGAGCTCTTTCACTAGTCGCTGCAAAGCTCCTGGGTCAACTAAGTGCCCCAGAGCTTTTTCTCACAGTCAGATTATTAAATGACTCACCCGTTAAAATCTCCCTGCCCCAGGACATTTTATTTCACCATAAAATTCTAAGGCAATTTTCAGGGTTCACCGTACAAATCTGACCAGGTATGGACAGCCTTTTTTTTTCTTTGGCTGTGATGTCAAACAGCGATCCTGCCCACATGTGCTCATTAAAGAGCGAATGGCTCCTTTTCTGCAGGCGCAGGGGTGTTCTCCATGTGCTCTGCCAGTATCCCACTAATTACATTTAGCACTGGAACATTCATAGCACCTAACAAATAAGTTGATACTAGAAAACGAAGGGACCTGGCCAATCTGCCCTTCAACCCCACTAATAAATCTCTTTCCCATTTGCTGGTTGCTGACCTTTATTCTGCAAAGTAGCTTTAATTCCACAGCTTAGCACATCCAGGGACCATTTAAAACCACAGCAAAGTGCCAGTAGGTAGGATTCAGAGTAGGTAGGAGCGTCTGCAGGTGCTAACGAGCACAGGGAGAGTGATGTCACCCCGCCTGTGCACATCTCTCATTGAATTTCAGACCCTGCAAGTTTCCTCCCCTGACTTGTTCTCATGTTTTTGGCTTCAAGGGAGTGAAACCCGCTTTACTCCAGCTCGGAGCGGGGGATGGCTCTCCACCAGTGTCTAGAGCCAGGCTTCATTTCAAGTGTTCGTTGACTGGCAGATGCATGCAGCGGTGGTTCCAGTGGTCAGGCATTCTCCAGCGCTGCATCCTTTGCCTCAGCCCTGACAGCATCTGCCAAGCAATTGCAGCAAGGCCAGCCCTGTTCCGTCTCCCTTAGGGTTAATCTGATTTTAAGCACAGCTTCAAGTGACCCAATTCTGCTCCCATTACAGACCCCCTTCCCCTTCCTATTGGCCCCTTGCTCCCTCAGTTTTATCATCCCACCCCACAGCATGCCCACGTCTCTGTGTGCGAGCTGTATACTTTACATTCAGGGCAGGGACATCAACTGACACCTGCAAAGTGTCACCCACCGCAGCACTCCGGGCTTGAGCCAAAGCCCCCTGATGCCAAGGGAGAGACTCTCATTGACTTCACTCAGCTTTAGATCAGGCCCTGTGTGAATTAATAAACCACTGGCAGAACTGACCCATGGGAGCAAGAGCAGGCCCAGGCTATAGTTATCACCCACGGCCAACATTTTGGCAGTACAGTGGCCAAAAGTCCCAGTCCTTCTCAAAGGGAACCCTTTTTCCTGGTGGCTTCACCGCAAACATTGGCCCACATACTCGAGGGCAGAGCGTGCTGCAGAATCCACCCCCCACCCCCCACATTCCCAGAAAGATCAATGCCAGAGCAGGCCTGCCCTTCTCGGCTGAACTGGCCTTTTCGTAACCACAAAAGTCTAAGAGCAAACCAGGCATCAGGAGTAAGAAACACTTCTGTTCATTAACGTCTCGGACACATCAATTACTACATAGTGTTCCATAGTTTACCTGATAATAAAATTAATCTATTAAAAGCCTGTGCCTCTGTTTGCAGTGTGACATGCTGCCAAGGGAGAAAGTGTTTGCTGCAGCCAGAGGGAAGTTTTTGTTGGGACCAGGTTTGTCTCCTTAGCCTGGCACTGTTGTGCAGCATGGCATTGGCCCTCACTGGCTCCCTGCTGCCGTTAGGCATTGCTGGATGCTCTGGGGAGCATTAACCGTTTGTGCTCTTCCCAGAAGCAGTAGGCTATTGTCAGCCGCGTCCCCCAGTCCAGCTTTCTCCCACCCCAGTGGGTCCTCGTTTGCGCTGCCTGGGATCCTTTCACAAATGCTCAGTAGGCAGCACTCTGAATGGCTGGCTGTTTTTAAACTGCCTCGGCTGCCTTGTCAGGACGCAAAGCAACATGTTGCTGCAACCGGTGCCGCACAGCAGGAGATGACATGATCTGGTGCATCATGGGCTGTTTTGCTGCATCCTGATTTACGTTCATTTGGGCAGGCGGGACAGAGGGCTCGGCAGGACCTTCCCCATCTTTGGTTCCCCCACTTTGCAGCAACCCTTCTTCAGGAGGCAGACAGACCAGCGGTCACCCCGGCTCACTGTCACTGGGGCTGCACATGCCTCCTCTGCAGGCAGCCAACCCCTGAAAGCCAGTGGACTGGAACTCTGGTCCTTCTCCATGGACTGTGTTGCTGGGGCCTATCGTGTGCATTTTCACCCTGTGGTCCTATAAATAGCCATAGCGTCTCCCTAGGAGCTCACAGCCCATCACACACCCCTTTGCAGACCCTGCAGTTCACAACTTTGAAACTATTCTTGGACAACTTGTGCCCTTTCAGGCTCCACTTACGATGGTTGCTAAATGCTCAGTAGAATGTAGGTTTACACAAACGGGGCGTGTCCATTAAACTGTATTTCAAGTAGGAGTCAAATTCCAAATCCCAGGCGCTTGTGCTACCTACATTCCCTTGGGGTTTTATTGTCCTTCCGTATGTATGCACCAGTCCCACCTCCAGTGAGAGACGACTAGAGCGCCAAAGCAAATGTCCTCTACGCCTGGCAGGAAGGAAAAGCTGGGTACGTCTGGAGGACAGAATGGTGCAGTCTAGCTAGTCATCGGGGACACCTTCTTCAATCCATTTTAAATAGAGGGGGTTTCCTTGGTCTATAGGCAGGCTGATAAATTCAGGAATCTCAAAGGGATGCATGGATCTGAAATGGAAAACACACACAGCCCCCCAATGGGAGCAGATCATTTCTGCTGTAGGAACCAGCTCAATCTTATTTACAGCCCCAAGAAACGAGGAGCTTTCAGGTCACAGGAGCATCTTTCAAGAAGGGCCTCCAGACTCTGCCTCTGACTTCAAAGCAGTTCTGTGGCCCTTCTCTTCAGATCAGGTAGATTCAAAAATCCATGAGCTTTTCGCTGTGAGTTTGGGGTTTAAGTGAACACGGCTTCACAGGGTGGCTGGCCCCTTTAAATGAAGATGGTCCAGCGCCTTTATGCCAGTACAGCTGTTGCCAGTTTGACCAATTAAGTGAATGGGGCAGCACCTGTGGGAGGTCCCTGATGGAAGCTATCGGAGGGGGGTAGTAGGTGGGCTGCCTGCAAAGAAGTTTCCCAAATGGTCTCTCCAAACCGGAAGAAAGGCCAGAGGGCTGGAAAGGACTGAAGGCAGGAGAGCAGCAGCCTGCTAGCTTCCAAACTGAAGCCAAGGGCAATCAGCGGAGCAATGGAATGGACCTGCTGGCCTTTCTGAGATGAGAGGTTAATGGAACCAGGGAGTGGTGGATGCTCCCCTGATGAAGAGGAACCCCCAGCAGAGAAGCTGTGGGAGGGTGGGCTCCTACTGGGAAGAGTGAAGTGGCACTTCTGCTGGAAGGACTGAGATGTCCACGCTAGCAGGACAGGAGAGGACTGAAGAAGAGCCTGGTTGGTGGAAGATGCTGGACTGTGGTATGTGTTACACTGATGAGCTAGGTGTTGGGGGATTCTAGGGACTATATGCAGTGGGTGTGATAAATGGACGTGTTTGGGGATGGATTATTTGCACTATGTTTTGTAACAAACCAGCCCCAAAGAGGGGTGTTATTGGGGTAAGAGAGTCTGTTGTAGAGCCCCTAGGGCCCCCAAAAGGGAAGTGAGATAGTACCCTGGTGTTTGGGCACCCAGCCGCACGGGGCTGCTCAGGGGCGAGAGGATATCATTCACACACAGGAATTGCCAGACTGGATCAGACCAGTGGCCCATCTAGCCTGGCAGCCTGTCTCCAACCATGGCCAGTACCAGATGCTTCAGAGAAAGATGCAGGAAACCCTGAAGTAGGCAATCATAGGATCACCTGTTTTAAGGGAAAGTTTCCTTCTTACCCCCCCTTGTTAGAGATTGACTTAAGCCCTGAAGCATCAGGGTTGATATCCTCTCCGAAGCTCTTATTTATTTACTACGATGACTCTAGATATTCTTGTTATCCAGATCAGTGGATCCATATAATTGAATCTTGATAATTCAATGATATCTTGTGACAGTGAGTTCCACAGGCTCATTGTTCATGTTGTGAGAAAAATATTTCCTTCAAAGGTACGACTAAGACCAAACCACTCTGTTTCACCTAGCTTTGCACTGATTCCGTGAATTCCCTATGGCTACAACACAAAAGCTGAAGTTCTGTCCATGTTGGTGAACCTGAGAGACTTTTTTGAGGTATGTGGACTCCATTTCAACTAGAAACCAGCTGGGCTTTACCTAGTTTTTCATTTTAGTGTAAGCTTTGAATTGATATGATGTCTGATATTTGGCACCTGCAGAAGCAGTCAAGGAGCTAAACAACTACACATGGGTGTTGGGAGGAAGTAACTGTGCCCTCTGACTGGTTGAGTTAGAGATGGCAAATTTAGTTTAGGGGGAAAATATCATTTGCAACAGGCAGGAGCCTCACCTGATGTAGTCCGATAATTCACTTATTTTTGACGTCCTGGTTTTCACTAACTGTAAAAGAAAAAGAGACAATGTAAAGAGAAATATAATCTGGGACAGCGGAATTGTTCTCACACACATGATTCTTCCACACTAGTGCTGACAGCATCTACTTTAGTTCTCTTGAGGGAATTAAAGTCACTTAGGAAGTCTCATGGCAATATTATGGCATATGCAAATTATTCAAATAACTTTGAGCTAGAGTCCCATGGGAGATGTCTGAAATACATTAGCACTGTCTGCAGCAGAATGTCTGGCAAATCATGTAATCTCTTTGTGCTTCAGTTTCCCATCTGAGAGACAGTGTGGCCTAGTGGACAGAGAACTGGACTACAACCCAGGAGACCTTGGTTCTGTTCCCAGCTTTTTCCACTGGCCTGCTGGGTGACCTTGGACAAGTCACTTCACTGCTCTGTGCCTCAGTTTCCCATCTGTAAAATGGGGATAATGACGATTACTTCCTTTTGTAGAGTGCTTTGAGATCTACTGAGGAATTCTAAAAGAGCTCGGTGTTGTGTGTAAAACAGGGAGAGCAATAATTCCCCTGCTTTGTCTGTTTAGACTGTAAACTCTTCAGAGGAGGTACTCAATCATTCTATGTGTCTGGAAAGTGCCCAGCACAATGGGGCTGGTGCTTCTAGCCACGTACATGCAGGAAAAATGCTGGATTGACAGCCCTGCTGAGTAAAGTAAACGTTTCCCCCTCCTTGCCTGCTGCTGTGCCCTGACCTGAATGGAACCTTCTCAAAGTGAGAGTTCAGCCGATTGTGGCTCATTGAGGTCAGGGTGTCTCTGCTGGGGGTTTCTGTGATGTGGACCCCTGTCCTCAAGGAACTGGAGAGAGAACCTCCGAATCCATTTCACGCAGTCCTCAGATGGTACCAACTCTTGGCCACTACTGCCCCGAGCTGGAGCCGTCCCCGGAAATCCTCATAATATTTGAATTAATCGTAGGTGAGAGTCAGAAACGGGGCCCCTCTTAGAAATGTGTCTCTCTACTACATACACAGGACCAGACACTTACTAGAAGTATTTCAGTGGCTTCTTCTATTTCCCCTTTCCAAAAATACCTAGATTTAAAAGAAGAAGAAGAAAGAAAGAAATACAGTAAATGACTGCAGTCCCATTTATACTGGCTCGGCATTAAAATCCATTAAAGACATTGAAGTGCTTTGAGATCTGCTGAAGGAAAGTGCTCTGTAAGAGCTAAGTATTATTATTGTTTGATTTTTGCCTGTTCAGTGCATGCTACAAGGTCACATTTCTTTATCTTGTTCTGTGTCGTTCTAGAAATGTCACGTTTTCTAATCACTTGCTGTAGATTTGACTGAGCAGGTGGAGTCACAAACCTGACAGATTGCTGGCTAAACGCTTTCTCCCATGCTCAGTAAGGCCCATCTCCAGCCCAGGTGGACCCTTGCATCCATGTGGAGCCCCAGTGAGGTCGGTGGTGCTCTCTGCTGGCACAGGGGTCTGCCCAAGCAGAGCGCATTGCAAGTTTGGGAACTACGGCTGGCTGTTTGGACACAGTAGGGAATGAATGCCTTGGATGACATTTACGGGCAAAGAGGCTCGCTTCCCAAGCACGCTAAGGGGCTTTATAAGCATGTACTAAGGGTAGAGCGTTCAGGGGTAGATTGTCTGCCTGAGCCACGTGCCTGCAGGGCAAGGACAAATCTGGCAGCTGGTTGCTGATCCGAGCTGGAAAACCCGAGGTACCAGGCGACTGTAAGCATTTTAAATTACTTCCATGTCAGAACCCCCATGGGATGTGACAGTCTTGAGGGCAATCACTGCATTTATGAAAAATGAACATTTATTGCCCTAGAAAATGTCCAGCTGCTTGCCTGGGGCTAGGTCTACACAGAGTAGATGAGGGAGCGTCTGTAGTGTTGGAGCGGCTGGAGCTACCATGGGTCAGGATTGAGGTGCCTCAGCAGAACTGGGTGGGGGCAAGATTAGGAGGGGAGTCTGAATGTCAGGAATGAGGTGAGTTGGCAGAGCTATGCTGGGGATGTGGACTGGCAAGGGAACAGCAAAGTGTGTTGCCGGGGCTGTTTGGGGGCCCAGGACTGGAATAACAGGGGCAAATCTCCTTGATCACACTCGTGCCCTTTTAGAACAATTCTCTTGGCAGAATGCCGCCATCATGCCACCCATGCGCCCGGAGCTGGAGGCCAGAAGTCATCTGGAGGCATCAGAGTGGCTAGTGAGCAGCAGCTAGGGGCTCCGTTGGCCTGGGAAGGAGGAGGCTAAAACAGCTGTGTGCGCATAAGTGTAACCAGGATCCAGCCTTAACACGGATTATCACACACCGCTCTGAAAACAGAGAGGAGCTATTCATAGAATCATAGAACTGGAAGGGACCTTGAGAGGTCATCTAGTCTAGTCCCCTGCACTCATGGCAGGACTAAGTATTATCTAGACCATCCCTGACAGGAGTTTGTCCAACCTGCTCTTAAAAATCCCCAATGATGGAGATTCCACAACCTCCCTAGGCAATTTATTCCAGTGCTTAACCACCCTGACAGTTAGGAAGTTTTTCCTAATGTCCAACCTAAACCACCCTTGCTGCAATTTAAGCCCATTGCTTCTTGTCCTATCCTCAGAGATTAAGAACAATTTTTCTCCCTCCTCCTTGTAACAACCTTCTACACACTTGAAAACTGTTATCATGTCACCTCTCAGTCTTCTCGTCTCCAGACTAAACAAAACCAGTTTTTTCAATCTTCCCTCATAGGTCATGTTTTCTAGACCTTTAATCATTTTTGTTGCTCTTCTCTGGGCTTTCTCCAATTTGTCCACATCGTTCCTGAAATGTGGCGCCCAGAACTGGACACAATACTCCAGCTGAGGCCTAGTCAGCGTGGAGTAGAGTGGAAGAATTACTTCTTGAGTCTTGCTTACAACACTCCCTCTAATACATCCCAGAATGATGTTCGCTTTTTTTGTAACAGTGTTACACTGTTGACTCATATTTAGCTTGTGATCCACTATGACCCCCGGATCCCTTTCTGCAGTACTCCTTCCTAGGCAGTCATTTCCCATTTTGTATGTGTGCAACTGATTATTCCTTCCTAAGTGGAGTACTTTGCATTTGTCCTTATTGAATTTCATCCTATTTACTTCAGACCATTTCTCCAGTATGTCCAGATCATTTTGAATTTTAATCCTATCCTCCAAAGCACTTGCAACCCCTCCCAGCTTGGTATCATCCGCAAACTTTTTAAGTGTACTCTCTATGCCATTATCTAAATCATTGATGAAGATATTGAACAGAACTGGACCCAGAACCGATCCCCTTTGTAGGATGGTTCTGCAGGAGTCGAGTTCAATGGCATCACACTGCTTGAGACTGCTGCGCGAGAGATTGAAGTAGGAACAGAGACTCCTCCTGAGATGGGGCAGGTGAGCCCAGGGCTACTGAGGGATTAGTGGAGTGGGAGAAATGTTAGAGAATTGCACTGCTTGGACCAGCTCTGCTTGGAGTGCTGTTGTTCAACTCTACCAGCCAGGTTAGGAAAGGGAGGGTGGGACCCCAGATAGATTTGTGGCTGGTGGGGAGCTGTGTGGTGCATTCGGGGCCTGATCCAGAGCCCACGGAAGTCTGCCTTGGAGTGGATGGCTTCATTGGGCTTTGGGGCAGGCCCTCGGAGAGGCAGGATGGTCCAATGGCCCAGGCACTGGAAATGGAAGATTTGTGCTAGTCCTGGCTCTGTGTGTGTGGCCAGGCGCTAGTCACAACACCTATTAATAATGAGGTCATTAATACGTCCTGAGCTTCATTCATTAATGACAAGGTTTCCAATCTGTGGGTGGAAGGCCCAGGATGCCTGGGAGTATTATTGCTGTTTCCATATTCCAGGGCCAAAGGCTGCCCCTTCCTACTGTATGAAGACATCAATTAATATTATAAATTTAGGTCCCAGGAAAGAAACAACACACATTAAATAATGGTGAAAGAGGCTAAAATCCTCTTTGCGAAGATTTCTATTCCTAAGTAACCAATAAACAAATGGCCACAGGTGGGCATGTCTACCATCCACCCCCTATTCTTCATATGCTTAATGCACTGTGGCAGTACAGGGGTCACTCTTATAATCTCCCTGTCTAGCAATCGGAAAGCAGTGCAGCTTTCTACGAATAAATTGGTCTCCTGATTGCATGGTTTCATTGGCCTAATCCTGAGAGGTGCTGAGCCAGTTGTGGGTGCTCCGGCACCTCTTGGGTTTGCTATTCCTGGCTTAGGCTTCCATTTGCAGACGAGCATTTGTATGTCCTTTGGAGGAACGTTCAGTGCAACTCACATAGACGAGGCCTTCGGCAGGATATTCACGCAGGCAGCCAGCTTTTTATCCATAATGGCCCTAAACAGAACAGACAAGGTGAGTTTGTAAATAAACTGTACTTCCTCCACTCCCGGCAACCTCCTCCACCTTGAGCTGTGAAGTTAACCTTGAGCTGTTTCCTCCAGTGACAAGCCTTGACATCTGAGGCACGATTAATCTGTTTCCAGCTGAGATTAGCTCAGCATGTCTCCTACTTGCTCAGCCAGGGGGAGGGTCCCTCCAGCGTGCTGCTGATAGACCCTGAAGGTTCCAGCATCAGTGCTGGCCTGGGGTAATATGCAGGACTCATAGGCACAGATGGCAGTCTCAAATGCTAGCTAATGAAACCTTGCACCATCCCCATGGTGCATCAGTCTTATCCCCATTTTACAAGTGGGGAAACTGAGGCTGAGATTAAGAATTGGAGCTGGGATTAGGACAAAGGAGTCCCTGACTCCCAGTCATAAACTCACATCATGAGACTCCACTTCTTGCATGCACAGCAGACTAAAAATCGTCGAATGTACTAAAGGTTTAACAACATCGGCCTTTTCATACCAGAAAGTTATTAGAAATCTGAAACCCAAATCCATTCCTTCCAGAAAGCTTCCTCCTTTGGTTGTGGACTAGTTTGTTATTGTGGGGCTGCCGGTGCGTTACATCTGGGCTGCCGGCAGACATGAGCACAGAAGCAAATGTGGGGCAGGGTAGGAAGAGGGCTAGGAGTACAAGGTCAAAGGTTGTGCTTACCAACCCCACCAGTGTCTCTATGCTTTTGGAGAGCCCCTCAAACTTGTTTCTTTTGCACCCGCTGCCCCCAGAATTGTGTTAAACATTCTTTGAAGGCGTGGCCCTGTTAGGCTTGTAATTTGTTTTTCTTTAACTCTGGCCTGTGTTTTGTACTTAGCGCTATGGCAATGAAAACTTTAAGCTCCTAACAATTACACTTGGGTCAAAAATATGACCTCAAAATTCCAGAGGAGTCAGGAGTGAATAGAGAACGAAAGAATAGGAATTAACCCTCCGTGGGGCTGATGTTTGTACACTATTCGCTACTTCAAACAAAATAAAACAAACCTGCTTTGGCTCTGAGCAAGTTAAAAATATCGCCCTTGCATCCAGATTAGAATAGATCCTAGGTGGGATTATGAAACAAACTATATCATCTAGTGAATCTTTTATCCTTAAAAGAGGATTTCATGTCACAAGCTGTGAAAATACCACATGTAGATTGAGGACTGTATAACATCACAGGGTGTCCTGCCCCAAATGCAACCTAAATCAGCACAGACGGTAACTAACCCAAGTCAGCTGTTGACATCCAGGCCACGGGACCAGTATGCAATTATGTAACAGGTTCAAATCTGTCACCTAACCCATAAAGCAAAGCTATTTAGATAGTCTGGGTTCTCATTTGGATTCTCATAAGCTTCTTTTCACATCTTTATTATTAGACCTGCTTTGTCTGTCTACACAGTCCGCAGCCAGATCCATGAGACAATGGAGGCGGCTTGTTACTATTCTCCCTGCCACAAGGCAGGACCACAGACTGGCCTCTCCTCTAGTAGCAGGAAGGAAAAGGGACAGACCTGTGGAGTGGGGAGAAAAGCAGCTCCATTGTCTTCTTCCCACAGATGCTGGGAAATCCCCTCCGTGGCAAAGCATTGGGCACTGGGGAGGCGAGATGCCAGAGAGCAGTCGCCCTCCAAGCCATGCTTCTCTTGGGTCTAGGCTGGTTCCCAGCTTCTGGAGGAGCAGGTTGGGTGCAGCCACTGCCAAAGCGAGTATGGCAGCACAGCTTCTGAGGGAGCCATGGGCGACTGTGGGAGTGAAGCCATGCCCCACAGGACAGTCAAATAACCTTAACTCTTCCCCAAGGGAACAATATGGGGGAGACTATGAGCAGGTGGCCCAAGGAGCTGAGTTTTTAGCCATGCAGTGTCTGAATCTCATGCAGCATAGAGTATCTCAGAAGGGGGAAAGTGACACGATCCAGTGAATGGCTGGAACTGACTCAGTTTTACTATTTAGGTCAAGGTCATACTGTCTTATCTTACTAAGTGATTTGAAGAAGCAGTAACATACTACAGAATGGGGGACAGTTTTCAAAAGATGCAGCTGATTGCTATAATAATACTTAGCCCTGTTCTCCTCAAGGTGCTTTAAAAACACTAATTAATCCTCTTAACCAGTTAAGGTAGGTAAGAATTTATCCTCCCCATCTCAAATTTACAGAGGAGGAAGCTGGGCCTGAGAGATTACAAGACATATCCTAAACCACCCAGGCAGACGCTATTAGAGCTGGGATTAGAACCGAGGAGTTCCTGGGAACTACTCCTGTATTTAGGTGACACCTCTATAATGGGTGACCATTTCCCGGTAAGTTATATTGCTTTTGTGGAGTCCTCTGCAATAATGCTGAAGGCTAACGTTGGCTTTCCTCTAACGAGGAATATCCCATGGATTGCAAAAAATCTCTTTTAAAACAAAAGAGAGCCAATCTTTGTGCAAGATTTTATGTTTCACTTTGTTGCATCCATCAGTTGGCCAGCAGAGGGAGCACAAATTAATAAATACTATCCCTGACACAAGTAAGGGTGTAAACAACGCAAAGGTAAATTGACTTATGTGCCAACATAAACTGGAGCAGGAAAGTGAAAATCCATTTTTGCCATATGAAAACAGAAAAACAGGAGGGCAAGGTCTGTATCCGCCTTCTAACAGAAAATTGCAAACAGCAGAGAGAGCACAAGAAGAAGAAACTTCTGATGCTGTCCCTTTAAGGAAACTATTTATGTCCCTCCTGCAGAGATTTGATCCAGAATCCTTGTTACAAATTAGCAGGTCAGAAATTGGTCCCTGAGGAGCACAGACTATGACAGGGAATGCAGTATAACTTCTTGTGAAACGGTATCCATTAGGGAGCCATTTAAACCGTGGCTCATGCACCTCAAATGTTTAATGTTCAGTACTTATGCATCCATAAGTAGCCACAAAAAGCTTTTCTCGGTGATAACCTGTCTCCAGACAATGACACAATTTTTCCATGCTTGATTTTCGCAATTGCTGATGAAGGTTTAAGTGTTGGTGACTGGCACAAACCAAGAACACTTGGAGATGGACACATTTCAGAAGACAAAGTGCATTTCAAAATGCATGTTATAGCAAAATGATTTGCTTCTTTACCAACCCCCCGCCCCTCTCCCCACACACACACACACAAACCTATCTAAAGGCTTAGGTTCCAGATTTAAAGTGGCTCATTCTAGTTGCAAATGTGTTGCTTAGTCAAGTGTAGTTACTTGAAAATCTGATTACTACTTACAAGAAAACACAATGTTACACTTTTTATAGACCCTACACATAAACTAAGCTGTGCACATGTGCTACCGCTGGGAAGAGCTGGACATAGCGCTAGCTCTTTGAACCTATATTTCTTTGCTGTTTAAACCAGGTTAAGGTTTGAACACAAACAAAGATTTTGTATCTGAATTATGGGCCTGATCCAAGCCCCAGGGGTCTTTCATTAACTTCAATAGGCTTTGGCTCAGGCCTTCTTCTAGCTGGCATATTTTATAGCAGTAAAAATGCTACATTTACACTGATCTATAAGTTATTTTTGTCTACTACAGGTATTATATTAAACTCTAACTTGTATTTTAGTAGCACTACTATTACATTAGCACTGCCCTATCTGTCTGACACCCTGAGGGACATAGAACAAAGCTTAATGGCAAAAGCTGACAGTGATGGCAATCCCTGGAGAGGAGCAGTTTCTGGAGCAAACTTGTTTGGCAGCTTGACTGGAAGAGGGAAAAATACAACACAGAAGCATGAGGACATGGTGACATTAACACTTCAGCAGGAACAGATTCTGAGCTGAGGATGTTAATGGCGGAAAGCCAAGCCAACTAGCCCCTTGCAACTGATAGGAAGCAGTTCCCAGTTTGACGGCTGCAACATGTCCAGACATTCCAACTCCTCCATTTCTATTTTAAAAGAGAGGTGAGTGGCTGGTTCAGTAATTATTGAAAGAGGCCCCTTACTGAAAGGCAAATGACAATAATCACTCAGATATTTTCATTTCAGATTACTACCAGATAACTAGGAAAACATACTTTTAATTGGAATTAAATGGAGAAAAAAACTGTATAAAGCATGCACGCCACCTCAGCATGCAGGGGATGGAGAAAGAAGGGATATTAGGGGAAACCACTGTCTTCAGATTCAGTGATGTACATACAAGCTCTTAGTTTCAACTGTAAACCCCTAGTACTTGTAACATGATCTATACAGCTGGTGAGAAAATGCAGGTTTTTCCCATGAAAAATCTCAACTTTTTATTGAAAACCTGAACATTTGTGACCCAAAACAGCCAACAACTAAACCAAAAATGTTCAGGTTTTTGTTTTTTTGACAAAAAATAATTTTTTCTGAGGAAAGCAGATATTTCCTGGGGAAATTTTCATGTTGTCAAACCCGATTTGCCATCAAGAAATGTTTTGACAGAAAATTTTCAACCAGTCCTAATGATCTACTAGAGGTGTGAGAAGTATCAGGGGGTAGCCATGTTACTCTGTATCTACAAAAACAACAAGGAGTCCGGTGGCACCTTAAAGACTAACAGATTTATTTGGGCATAAGCTTTGGTGGGTAAAAACCTCAGAGGTGTGAGAGTTTAGGTGGAAAATCAGACTTAATTTTTTTCTAAAAGTCTTGGGTCTGAGATTAAGGTTAACAGGGATTGCAGATGTGAGACATGATCAGAACCGCATTGAGAATGTGGTTGATACACTACATGAGAAAAGTGATCAAGTTGATGCAGGTGAAGCATGCCAGCTTGAGAGCCCTGGAGACTGCAGCCCTCTGTTAATCCACACAACAGGTAAAGTACCAGGATAAAAAATAACAGGGACATAAACTTTCAGGCTGCCATGACCACTAACTGACTGGAAGCAAGGAAGGATATCACCTATGATCAGGTTATGGGAATCCTTCTACCTTCCTCCAAAGCAGCTGGTATTGGCCACTGTGGGGGAGACAGAGTGCTGGGCTGTATGGATCCTGGGTCTGATCCTGTAAGGCAATTCCTATGTGAAGGGGACTGTTCTCTAAAGAGTACCAACAAAGTCCTATGCATTTTACCAATGAGCAGGAGGTCACTGCTGGGCAGAGCTTATAATAATCACTTAATACTGAGGTGTTGTGAGACTTCAAGTTTTTAAAGCACCATAGAAGTATAAAGTACAATTCCTGGGATATTGTTTGGTGTCATTCCCTCCCAATGAACTGAGATCTATGAAACACATGGACCCTGGGGAAAATGCAAATATTAATAACAAGATGAAGATGGACGGCTGAAAATGGCTGTATACTTCATGATGGCTTTGGGGTGGATATTTCATGTGTATTTCTATGTCCCAGCATTAACACACATTTGTATTCATACTCTAGACAGATGAAATATGAATAAGCAGAAAAGTAAAGAAAAAGACATGCACAGATACAAGGCAAACCTGGGGGCTGATGGAACATTCAGGTGTAACCCAGTCTTATCTTCATAAAAGATAATGATCAGCCTGAAATATTTTTAGGTTAGATTATTTGTGAGGTCACCTTCAGAATGCTTCAGGGCCTGATCATGCCCTATGGACCCACAAAACTCAACTTCCCAAATCAGACACAGGCAAAGAAGCAAAATCTCCATTTTGTAAAGACTGGGAGACTTCTACTAAGTACCAATTTTAATATCAGTGCAGGTCACTCATGTTATAACTTGCTCTAACTGGGGTGCCTCCAAACTGTATTTGTTTACAGCTGAGCAGGCCTCGAAATCTGAAACCCTTTACAAACACCAAAGAAAATACTTGCAAACGGAGTCTGGGAATAAGTACCTCAGTGAGCAAGCTAGGGGAAAGATAAAGACATCCATACTAGCAGCTAATGGGTTTTGGAAAATCAGCTTTCATCTACAGAGCCAGTTGCTACAACCCATTATCACTTAATCCCAATTCCTCTGAGCTCAACTTTAATTCATTAATACCAAGAAAAATGTTAGCAAAATACATGTAAATCTCAGCAATGGGCATGAACTGCAGAGAGTGATTTATTTCCTCTCCCTTCCCTGGAAGAGAAGGAACAACAGACAGAAAATGTTTGCGGAGCTGCTAATGTGAAGCATTTTCAGAGACTAAATGGTCTTCTCCCCAGTAATGCACAGTTATTCTTTTTTGTCATACACATCAAGTGGTAACGCACTTGATACAGTTGCAGTATTGAGGGTGACACAAAATGCCTTTTAGTAGCCCATTGTTTCCTGAATAGCTGTTCGGGAACACTCTGTCATTACGGAAGAGAGGCAGAGTTTTTGGCAAGCAGAGAGTTAGCAGGGAACAGAGCTCATAAGAGGTGTTGCAGGAAACTTAACGGTCCACTATAAACAGTTCCAGTATTCTGAACAGAGCAGCTATTTAGCCATGTAGCTAGGAATTTGTGAAGTGTTCATCATACCAATCTATGGTACATTAAAAATAAAAATGATCTAGATGTATTTGAAGCCCTTGCAAAATGCATTAGAGTAGGGAGGGGTATTGAGTGGCAGATTTTGTCTCCCCCCCCCCCATCCCCCTCTTTTTTTGGCCTGGTTTTCTTTTCTTTATTTTATTTTATCTATTTTAGGCTTTTATACTGCCACCCATCATTGTAGCATCTGGGCACGTCCTACCCAAAGTCAACAGCAATAGCGAAGTCCCTAGTGGACTTCATAGGGGTCTCTGACACTTTACTCTTTCTAGGGTAGAATCTCTGCTTGGGCTATTCTCGGTTGGTTTCTGTTCTGGGTGGGTTGGTTGGTTGGTTGACTGTTACAGGATTTTTTTTTTCTGGAGGAGTGTTTGGGTGTCAGTGTTGTAAGTGTCATTCTTGCTATGGTGATAAGGCTTTTTGAAAGAGAAAAGTTTGGCAACATTTCCTCAAGGTGGTCATGCTCTGGAGTCACCGAATCTCACCTGAACGTTTGTTCCAGAGGCAGATCCCCTTGACCCAGAATGATTTGCCCTCCACCCTCATGCACCGCTGCTGAGCTTTGTGACCTGCACTGTCTCAAAGGAGTTCAGCTGACATGGTGGTTGCTTGATCCAGGAATTGCCTTGAGAATTAGGACTGAGGCCTTAGACTGGCATCTGAAACAGACTGGGAGCCAGTGCAGGAATTGGAGAGGAGGCGTGATGTGCTCACATTAGCCTAGGCCTCGAAGGAGGCAGGCAGCTGTATTCTGCACCAGCTAGATAGATATTTTTGGGGGGTACAATTTTCCTTTAGAAGGTTGAGTTCCTACTCTACAGAGCTGTTTATGGGAGAGAGTTAATGCATGAGTGGGAGAGAAAGTGTGTGTCATGTGGAGAAAAAGGGAGAAACCCTCCTCAGAAATAACTACTGTAAATGAAACAAACAACCCATTACTTCATGACAGCCAGGCTTTGAATTATTCAAGCACAACAACAATGAAAGTGACACCGTACCTTGCAATATCCTTTGCAACTTGTTCATTGGGACAGTTAACGAAAGCAATGGACTGGGTTCCCGAGATATAGCTGCCAGTGACTGCAGAGTGCAGCTGAAGACCTAGACTCTTCAGCACTGGGTACATCAGTAAAGACAGAGTTATTACCTAAAGAATGCAAAATACAACAGTGAGAATGCCAGGTCAAGTGTGTCCCTCAAATTTAGGTTGTATTTTAAAGAAACCCCAAGCATTTACTGTATGTATGAGCCAAGAAGAAAGTCTCCATTCGTTGTGTTGCCATTATTACAATAAAGCTTATTATTTTAGTTCAGAGAAACAATGTTTAAAACAAATAACCATTCCCCAGTAGTGGGTTCAATCCAACATTAGAGCAGTGGGTTTAGTGCATAAATAGGTCAGTTTCAGAGTCCAGAACAGAACCTAAGAGACTGGGGCCACCTGCTTCAGCAATAATCATGCTCAAAATGTGCATGTACAAAAAAATTCACTGTACAACCATAAAAAACATTTATAATTTTTTTTAAACAAGAATCATAAAGTACTTTGTTGGCAGGATAAATGACATTCCATCCTTTAAACAAAACCAAGAACAAGCTGAACTGACCTTCAGTATAAACTATTATTTCAGACTTGATACCGAAGGGAAGTAAAGCTGTAAGAGTGGGCCCTTAATATGCAAATAAGATAAAAATGTATAGTTTGGTTGGCTGATCAGACAGTTTGTTTTATGAGAAATTGCATCGTAGAGATTGAAGATAATCAGATTTTTATGCAAGCCTGGTATCCAATTTATTGCTAAAGGAATTTCTGCCTTTCTGTCTCCACTATGGACAAGTACAGCAAAAACATATTTACAGAAGGAAATCATAACTCACTCACACAATATTTGCATACTATGTTATAGGCACTGATTTAAAAGCACCAAAACTGAAACCGAACAGTCTCCACTGTTATCTCAACTGTGTATTTAATTTTGTGGGTCAAATTCATCCCTGGAATAACTACATCTGATTATAGAGCTACTCCATGGATGAATTTGGTTGTGTGCACGCTCAGGTTAAAGGAACATTGACAACTTACATTTAACTCAAAACAGAGCCAGTTCTGGCCTGGGTATTTGCCAGAGTAGAGCAGTGCTTCTATTCCCCTTATTAGGAGAGAAATACATGCTCCCTTCTGTTCAGCATGGCAACCATGAAAGTTATATGTGCATCCCTTGAGGCTGTCCCAGTGAGCAACATTTGTAAATAAAGAGTAATACAATGTTTACAACCCTCCTGTTTTTTCCCGACAAGAAGTGAGAAATCTGATGCAGCAATGCAATCGTTGTTTCCTCGGGTTTGTCCAAGAAGTGAAGGCCAAATTGGAAAATTTTGGATTTCTGGGTTGTTGATCTAGATACACCCAGAGCTGTCAATATTTAAAGTATAAGCTTTCGTGGGCTGCAGCCCACTTCTTCGGATGCATATCCCATAGCCGCCAACGAAAGCTTATGCTCTAATAAATTTGTTAGTCTCTAAGGTGCCACAAGTACTCCTGTTCTTTTTGCGGATACAGACTAACACGGCTGCTACTCTGAAACCAATATTTAAAGTGACTTAGATTCAAAAACCACCGTTGTGGGATCCTAAATTCAGTGAGATGACTGAAAAATATGCAATTTTGTTGGTGCTGTGTTGGTCCCAGGATATTAAAGAGACAAGGGGGTGAGGTAATATCTATTATTGGATCAACTTCTGTTGTTGAGAGAGACAATGTGGGCTACACAGTGCTCTTCTTCAGGTTTGTGTAGCTTGAAAACTTGTCCCTCTCAAGTTGGTCCAATAAATGATATTACCTCCCCCACCTTATCTCTCTAATATCCTGGGACCAATGGGGCACGAACACTCCATACAATCACTGAAAAATGGGAGACTGGAAAGTGATGGTCAAATCCAGGACATTTGCAATTTTGCAAAATGTCATCCCTTAAATTTTGCAAAACAAAACCTAGGACTGGTTTTGGATCCGGGTTTGAAATCCCCATATCAATGTTTTTGATAAACAACTCTAGTGTTGATGCATCACTAAACGAAATCATCATGGCAGCCTTAAGTAGAGCAAGGATTCCTCAGCACTGGTGAAAGAAACTTTTTAAAATTGCCTTCCAATCAAATGAGAAGTCTGAAAATGTCCACAAGGGAATATTTTTCATATGTGTGTTTCTTCTCTCAGATCAATTTTTTGAAAGTCCCTCTGCCCCGCCCCCCAATCTCTACATCTGCATCTCCTAATCACCCACTGGATTAGATGTCTGGGCATCAGGAATTGATCTATATACAGACTGGCATGTGCATGGGTCTTTTTTCTAAACACTGAAAGCATAACTTGTCTTGGGATCTGCATTGTCCCAAGACAGAGAATTTTGTATTCTGCTAAGTGCATCTTTGCAGCTTTCCCACAGCTAGGGAGAAGTTTGCTGGGAAATGCACTCAGCTGGGTGCAATTAGTGTCCCGGAAAAGTGAATCTGTTGTGAAGTTACCCAACAAAACAGGAACGAATACACTGACTCGTCTGCGCTCTGCTCTGCAGCATGCGGGGAGTTGAACTGGGGTGGGGAGGGTGTTCAGGTGAGGTGCCGCTTGCTCACCGATTCATCTTCCCCTAAGCAGCTCCCCCGCTCTCCTTGCCTGCCCTGCTGGGCAGCTGGTGCCTCAGGGACCAGCGGAAACGATCCTTCCAGGTGAAATCGCCTTGCCCCGGGCACTGTCCCGTCCATGATCTGCACCCTGCCTGCGCCCACCGGGGCTCACAGCCGGTTGCAACGAAGGGAGCAATCTTACCAGCAGCCAAGTGAAACACCCCGGACGGGAGCAGCCCTGGGCAGCCGGCAGCTGGCAGCGCTGAGTTAGCCAGTCCAGCTTCATCCTGCAGGTCGCTCCTAGTCCAGGGCCAAGGCCGGTGCCTCCAGCCCGTCCCTCCACCTGCTCAGCCTCAGCCCAGAGCGCTGCTGGGGCCGGTGGCGGCGGGTCTGGCTGGGAGGGGTGTTTGCAGTGGACACGGAAACTCCTCCTGCTGCTGCTGCTGCTGCCAGGAGGGGCTGGTACCCGGCTCATGTGCCACCTGCCGCCCAGCTGGGCAAGGCGAGGGCACGGACCAGCCCGAAGTTAGAGCTGGGATTTGCTCCCTTGCAGGAAAGGATCATGGGCTGCCCAGTCTGTGCCTCACTCTGCAGAATGCATTACAGTCCCCCCCCCCCTTAGGGTGACTATATTTCCCAAAGGGAAAACTGGTGGGGCTAGGCTGAGGCCTCCGCTCCCTGCGCAGGGCTAGTGCCAGCCTCTCCCGGAGCACTGCTGCCCCTTCCCACACGGGGTTGGCGTCGCTGCTCACCTGCCTGCCCCCCACCCGAGCCCTGTCTGCCCCCCACCCGAGCTCTGCCTCCCCCACTCAGCGGGGCTGGCATCGCTGCCACCCCCACCCCCTGTTCCTCCACACTCCACCCTTGTGACAAAAGGGCATTTGTCCGGTTTGATCAAGTTGACAAGAGCAGACAGGACAAATGTCCAGTTTTGCCAAAAGTTGGGACGGCTTGGGCAGGGTTTATAAAAGGGACCGTCCCGGGAGGGATGGTCACCCTACTTACTGTGGGCTGGGGGCCGCTGGCTCAGGGAATGGTACTGAGGATGCACTGGGAGATGTACACGGCCATTCTTAGACACACAAGAATCGGATTATGGGGGAAGCTTTTGATTTGTAGTTTTAGGGACAGATCACTAATCTTTGGTCATTGGAGACTCCACAGTACTTTCCCTGAGTCCTGGCTATATTCCATGCTGGGAAAAGACATTCTGCCCCTTTAAAAATTCCCTTCTGTAGTTTATGTGAGTCATGCTATTGACTTCATTGACACTATTCAGGAGTAAATCAATCAGGGTTTGGATAGTTAATTAATCCTCAAAGCACCCTGTAATGTAGGTAAGTATTATTATTATTCCATTTAAAAGATGGGGAACTTGACACTGTGACGTTCGCTGACTTGGCCAAAGCCTATTATGCCCATCACTGCGATATCTGAATCTGAGTAAAACTAGGGTGTTTTTAGCTCCCGCCTCCCAGAATAAGATATTTGAATGTGAAGAATAAAATGTGCTGAAAGTGCACAAAACTAAGAAGCATTTAAAAAGAAAGTCTCCCTAGCTTTTAATTACAGCTTTGCCTGTTAACAACCTTGTAGGTTTTAAAAGTTATTTCAGGTTTAACAATCTCATACACTGTGTATCTGCAACGTTTCAGTCCGTTGGGACAACACATCTAGCCTGAATTGTTCCACGTTTATCTCTAGTCAGCTTCACTTTCTCCTTCCCATGCACAAGCGTCAGAAAGTGTTTTGGATTTTACCCTGCAAGGGATTGTTTTACATCTAATTATCTCAGCAGTGGATACATATTAGCTTCATTTTGCATTTATCAACACTTATTTATTTAAGAACCTGGTGCAAAGTGTCAATAAATGAGTACGTTAAAACAAAAGGCAGCTAGTTTGACTCTATGTCTGAAGGGAGATGATCAGGGAGCTGAGCCCGGGGAGGAAATGCTGTTGGAGGCTTTCCAGGAGGAGCTGAGTGACGGTGACTTTCCAAAAGTCCTTCCCGGGAGGAGCCGAGTAACCGGCTGGGGAGGCTGCTCTGTGAATACTTATTTTGTGTTGGACGGAGAGGATGGCAGAGCAATTCGGTTGTGGGGCTAAAAACCTGACTTTTATTGTTGAGAATTAAAAGCAGGGGTTTGTGGGGGGGGGGGGGGGGTTATTCTGAAGCATCCCGAGACGCCAGGGCGGGTGTGTTATGTGACCTCCCTGCGGGGGCTGCCATGATGGTGGCCACCCGGCCGCAGCCTGGGGTCTTTACCCCGTGTCTTTGCGCCACTCCCGGGGGCGGGCTCTGAGGGGGCTCCTTGCAGCCCCCCCCCCGGGAGGGGCCAGACACCAGCACGGCGTGATGTCACTAACACCCCACAGTGACAGTGGGTGGCTGTGAGACGTCTTCGTCCTCCCCGCACGGCCTGGCCACCGCCTCTATCGCCGCCCTCCCCGCGGCGGACGCTTCAGCCTGGCCCGGCCCGCTCCGCTCCCAGGAGGCCACGGGGCGGACTTGCCAGACTAGTCCCGCCCCTCGCCTTACAGCAGCCAATCAGCAAGGTGCAGGGGCCCGCCATTTTGTTTACATTGTGCCGGACGCGAAAGGAGCCTCTTAGTTACGCCCAGCGTGGTTGCTAGGGGGGTTCTCGCGATACTGCTAGCCCCACACTCCCTCCCTCGGTTGGGTTGGGTGCCAAGATGGCGGAGGAGGCGCTGGAGCTCTTAGCCCGCGTGTCCCGGCTGGAGGAGCCGCTGGAGGAGCTGCGGGCCCTGGGGGTGGCCGTGCAGGCCCTGCCGCTGAGCGCTCTGAGGGAGCGGGCGCCCGACATCCGCCTCGGAAGCCTCTTCGCTCTGCTCAACGTGAACGACAGGTTGGCCGGGCCGGGGGGAGGCCTGGGCCGGGGGGAGGCGGGCACCCGGAGGAGGGGGCTGGCGTTCGGGGTGAGCGATGCGGCGTCGCTGAGGTACGGGGGGCACCTCAGGCTGCCTCCCTGGAACTGGGGCGCTATGTGGTGGGGGCGGGGCAGCGCTGTCGGGTGGGGGGCCGGGCTGTTATGGGGGGGGGGCGTCATGGGGGACCAGGCTGCTGTGGCACGTGCTGTTGCCGTAGGGGTGATGCTCTGCTCCTCGCTGTCGTGCAGTCCGAGGTGCTGGGTGTCACTGGGTGATAGGGTCCTGTATGCAGAGCCCAGCGATGCAACAGCCCTGGGATCCTGGGGCTCCCTCTGATCATGGCTCTGTCACTGAATCATTGTTTGGCCTGTGGCAAATCTTTTCTCTCTGCCATGGTTTCCCCATCTGTAAAATGTGGCCGATACTCCATAAGGAGGTTGGGATTTGGTTTTTTTGGTGTGTGGTTATTATTTGTAAAGCACATGGGAGGAACTGTTTATTTACTGACTATAAACTATTGCAATTATCACTGCCAGGAAATAGAATCAGAACAGTACAAAGTTGTTTTGCACGTGCATAGGCCTGTAGTAGTAAAATCTAGATTATTCTGCAAAATTCAGAATGGTGACAAAACTCAGTTGGTGGGAAATAGCCACAGGGTTGTTTCTGTGTCACAGAGTTGTTTCTGTTTGCCTTAACTTGTTAAATTCTTTAGCTAAGGCTGAGGTCCCCAAACTGGGGTGTGCCCCCCTTAAAGGGGCATGGAGGAATGTTTGGGGGGCACGGTTGAAGCCTGGGCCAGCCCCCATGGGGAGTGCCCTTTGGCTGCTGGCCCCAGCCCCGTGCCCTGGCTGCTGGCCATGTGCCCAGGGCCCCAGCTAGGGCTCTGCTCCCAGTCCTGCCCACAGCTGTGGCCCCAGCCTCAGCTCCCTTACCCCTGTCCATGTCGTCCTCCCTCCCCGCTGGAGCTGCGGCCCCACTCCTGGGATGTGTGTGTGTGTGTCTGGGCGGACAGGGTAAGAGGAGGTGTGACTCTGAAATGTTTCGGGAACACTGATCTAAGGGGTGTTTTTCCTTCCCCTGCAAACAGAGAACAGGTTGCTTTATGTGTTTCTATCTTGGAGCGGTTTCTTCAGGCAGTGGATCCATTGTATGTAATCCAAAACTTCAGAGAAGAACTTCAAAAAGGACTCTTTCATCCTGATGATTCAGTTAAACTTCTTACTGTAGCTCAGGTATGGACCGTAACTCCTATATTCAAATAGTAGGTTAGATCTTTGACCATTCTTGGCTAGTTTTAATCTATTATCACTTTTTTTTATTACAGTTTAATTCTTTACTTCCTAGTACCAAAGTAGGACAAAAGCACCATATTGCTACTTGTATATGGATTCTAGTTAGAAATCCTACATAAACTTGTTGAAATTTTTCATGTTGGTGTTTTGTGTCTGGTGGAAACAGACTAATACTATATGTTCAACTGAATTTTTAGGTTGGAAGAATAGTTGAAAATTCAGATGCTGTTAGAGAAATTCTCAATAATCCTGAATTACTAAGGCAAATCATTTATTGCATTGGTGGAGAGAAAATAGCTGTAGCTAAAGAGGTAAGTGTTGCAAACAATAAATCCTTTTTTTCTTTTTCACACTAATTGAAAGGTTCAAAGTATCTTATGTTGTATCTACAGTGTCTGAGTTAGCAGCCTTGATTATTCTTGGATAATAGAGAATTGGGGGCTTGGATAGCCCAGGAGACCGGGATCAGCCTTGGTGTAAAAATTCCAAAAGCATCTAAATGTCTTAGGCTCTGGAGTCACTCTAGGTAAAATCATCTAACAAACCCGTGTCGTTGCTGTCTGGTAACTCTCCTCTGTGAAGTGAATTGATGTGGTCTCCTGTCTGATTCCTAAAGGATTTGTTCACGTCACAGAAACCAGCATAATTAGCACTTTTGCCAGTCTCAGCAGAGAGACCAATATTTTTCAGTCTTCTCCCACTGATAAAGCATAGCTCTAGATGTCTTATGTATTATTTAGCCTATTGGAAAAAAACAATTCAACTGACTCTTCTTGTCTTGCTTTTTCATTCTACAGTTGGTTCTGCTACTGTGTGTGTATGTGTCTGTATTATCACGAAACACTGCCTTTATTTGTAGGCTATCAAATCACTGTCGAGAATAGCACAGACTCAAGATGGGCTGGAGGCTTTATTTGCAAGCAATTTTTTAGTTGACTTGAAAAATGTCATGGCAACAAGTGATGTTGTACGATACAGAGTATATGAGGTAAGAGCAATGTACTTCTTGGTGTTTGTTACAGGGCACCACGACTCTAGTGCATTGTGATTTGGAATGAGATGGAACATAGCTGTCATTTTTAACTGACTTGCAAACTTTGTACATTTCTGGAGGGAAGAAAGATGGCGTGGGGGCGGGAAAGGAGCATACCATAATTCTTTATGAAATTATGAATCACAGTTTTCTTCCCCCCGCAAACCTCAAAGGGTTTTGAAATGGGGTGGGCTGAAGGTCTGGAGGATATTTATGGGCTGTCCTCTATTATATTTTGTTTTTAAATTATGGTGGATGGGGGCCCAGAGCCTAGGATGGACACCTATAGATATTACTATCAATCAAATAAAAAATACAGGTGCAACTCTTTAAAAAAAGAATGGGGAGTGGTGATGGTAAATCACTGCCATCTGTATAACTTCAGGTACGTGGGTGGCAAAGGAGCAGTCACAAAGCTTAAACGTGTGAGGAAGAAACAAAGGGAGTGGAGAGGCTGGCATTTTTAGCAGAGCAAAGGGGGGAAAAAAGCAGGATGTAAGAAGAAAGCAAAAGAACATACTGCAGTCTGAAGACTTATCAGCGAAATAAGCTTTTAAAGCAGGATGGGGGTTAATAAATAATGTTTTCAGGCAAAAATTCTGTTTGGAATATGTAACGTATAGGTCTGTATAACTTTATCAACATAATGCGGTGTGCAAGCACTCAAAGTCTTACACAAATGCTTTTATACACCTGTCCTTCCTGTGCTTACTTTGTAGTTAATTGTTGAGATTTCTTCAGTGTCTGCGGTTTCTTTGAATTACTGTGCAAACAGTGGATTAATATCTGAGCTAATTGAAGAACTGACTGGAGATGATGTGCTGGTCAGGTATGTTGACAGATTGTTTTCAAAAGTAGATTGTCTGGAAAACAATTTAAGTACAAGGATCCATAAAAAAATATTTAAAAGGCGTTGGATTACAACTGTATTCTAACTGGGGAGGGGGAAGAGGAAATCATAACTCTGTTCAAGTTTGTTTGATTTTGTACTGCTAGTCCAAACAAGCACAAGAGGCTGTACTGGAGAGAATTAAACACTGACAAAATATTGATTTAACTAAATTTGAAAGTAAAGTTGATTCTGGATTGGGGTCTCACTTTGATTAGCTTAGTTTGATCATTTAATCAGAGACGCATGCAGGTCCTCACGCCCCACACCCTCACAAGTCAGGTTAATTACTTTTAAAAATTTAGTTGGACAATTTTTTTTTTTTTAAGTGCTAATACTTCTGTTTTAAACTCTTTGGGATATGGCCATGTCTTACACTAGCACAGTACAACCACAGAATTAGAACTCTGCTCCTGATTGCAGTCTTTGGGTACTATTGCAATATAAATATTAGGAGCATGTTACCTTTAAAATGACAACTGTGAAAGATTAAAACATTATTTTCTTTATCGATCTCTTGAGATTATCTAGATATTTAGGTTACTTTAAACAGGATATGAAATAGGCCAGGTGAGCATTTATTCTTTATCTTCTGTAGAGCTACCAGTATAGAGATGGTGACCTCATTGGCATACACTAAGCATGGACGTCAATATCTTGCCCAGCAAGGAATCATTGATAAAATTTCCAATATAATCATTGGGGCAGATTCTGATCCTTTCTCAGGCTTCTATTTGCCAGGTGATGTTATGCATTGATTGTTTCCAACGTTGTGTAATGTTGTTCACCTCTAAAGAACTGATAAACTAAGGGCTTTGAGCCTTTTGTCCTGAGAGGAAATGTGTATTTTTGATAGTAAGAATGTTATAAATGTATATGTACCTGAAATGTTTATGAATGGTCTAAAACGTGATTGCCTTCTTTACATAAGGGCACTGGGAAAAGATGAGTTACAGGGATGCTGTCAAGTATAGTAGGCACGCAGTTGAAGAATTGCTGTTGTCTCGCTAAACAAGATATTAAAAGGACCCCAACAACTTGAAACCTAATCAGTTTAAAAAATGTAAATTCAAAGAAGTTTGAGGTACTCCACTGCCCAGATACATCTGAAAAACCACAAAAACTAGCGATTATATTTTTACTATTTTTTTTAAAATGTAAGTTTTCACCTCTGTTGCTGTGTGAAACTCCTGCACAAGTGGGAGAAACTCTGCATCTTACAAAATTTTGGCGTACAGTGTTTAAAAACAAAACAAAAAAACCCCTACTCCTTCATTTTCTCCAATATTTCAGTTTATAGTAATCTGAAGTGTTACTTGCAGTAAAAGAAGGTCTTTAAAAAAAAAATCTTCTGGTAGAAATAATTTTGTTTCTCTTAAAGTTGGGATATCCCTTTTAATAGAAATGTTCTCCTGAGCTTTTATTGGGAGTGAAACATTTTTTTGTGAAGGTTTCTTTTTTTTTTTTTTTTTTTGAGACTCAGAAAATGAGACTGACTAGTCCTGTTTTCATTGTCCAAGGTGATTGAAATGAGAAGCAAACATCATAAATAATTTTAATATCTAAGGTGTTAGTGACTTAAGTCACTGTTTTTTAAATATTACTTTTAAGCTGACAGTGTCTCTTTTAAAGGAGGTACCAGTCTTTTTAAATGGGTAGTGGTCAGGAAAAGAGTGGGGAATATGAATGAACTACATCCTGTTTGAATATTGAGCAACTGCAATTTGATCTGAAATTCAGGATCCAACCACCTATAAGTGTGTAACTTTTATGTGGAACTCGGTGGTGCTTGGGTCAGCCCATTTATTAGTAGACAGGTGTCTATTTCACACAAACAAGGAAGCCATTGCGCTGTTACAGCTTCACCAGAGAGGTGATGGAAAATGAGCTCTTGTAGAGCAAAGTTGAAGTATACTGTGGGGGCATGTCTAGGCTGGGATAAGAGGATTAAAAAAACACCACCACTTAAAAATCTCTTAGCCTTGTCTAGATATCCGTTGAGCATGTAGGAGTAGCTTGCACTACCTCTGTTTGTGCTATACACATTTGTTTTAAAAATACTGGCTTTATCTAGTGGTGTCCTTTCAGTCATATTACTTTTTTACAGCTGAACAATTTTATCTTCAACACATTTCTTTAATTATGCCATTCGTGTAAAAGTCTTTTTTGGTATCTTTTCCTGGTTATTGACTTGAAATTATGCTACTGACGTTATTTTTCTTTTCTGTTGAATGTTTCTTGCTTTGCTTTTGGTAGGATTTGTGAAATTTTTTGGAAATCTGGCTATTGTAGACAGCCCACAGCAGATCTGTGAACGATATCCCATCTTTATGGAAAAAGTATTTGGAATGGCCGAAGGCCATGACCCAACCATGATTGGAGTGGCTGTGGACACGCTTGCAATCCTGGGATCAAATGTGGAAGGAAAACAGGTTTTACAGAAATCTGGTTTGCATCAATTTTTTTTCCCTTATATTCTAATAGACAAAGGAGAGTTTACTGAGGGATTTTCACACGCAGGAGTGGGGAAAGGGACCTTAAAATATATTTACTTACCAAAGATTTCTATTTGTTTTAATAGCTGCAAAGCACCAGAATAATAATTTTTCTATTCACAGTCCCTCTTCAATTTTGGTAGGGTGTGGGAGAATAGGGGAAGAGGAAAGTACTACTGGTTCTGAAGAGGAGCCTAATATATATGGCATTACTGCCTGTGATCAAACCGTGTTCATGAAACACATGGCAGTATCAGAGCTGCAGCTTGGGCTGTCAGCTAAAATTCCTCGTATTGCAGTGAGCAGCATAATGCAAGTCCACAACCGCACTGTAATTTTAGGAGATGTTCATCTTTCTTCTGTGATATGCTTTCTTAAAAAGGATGAGGAAAATACAGCCATGTAATATACATCTTTTTGCCTACAGACATGGATGAATATGCTTTTTGTGTGTCTCCTGGTGACATCACTTTTTTTTGAAGATTATAGGACTACTTTTAGTATAAGATGAAATGGCTGACCAAAATGGCCCAGAGGATTCGAAATGTGATACAGAACCCTTTTCACTACTGGTTCAAAACTAACCCAGTTTGGTGAAAGTCCATACCAACAGATGGCAGCTATATGTATTGTCAGTATAGTATATCTAGAACTGCTCTTGCTCAGGCTGTGCATCCCAGCGCTCTTCTCTAGCATTTAATTCAGTCTACTGTAATACTGATAATTTGACATCGTACAGAAGTTACTGGAGATTTTATTAGTATGTTGGGAGTATGCATGACAAATGAAAATTTCTTAATGTTTTTAATTTCAAAGGGAGTAGATTTCAACATCTGTTAAACAGAATCGGGCACCAGGCAAAGAATCCCCCAGCAGAGCTAAGACTTCGATGTTTGGATGCCATATCATCGCTTCTTTACTTGCCAGTAAGTTGTTTGAAATGTAGAGAAATGACACTATTGTGTGTTTTGTAGAGGCTAAGTCAAGGTTTCTTAATAGTTTACTGTTTTTGTAATGAACTCTTTAAACTTTTATTTAAAAAAATACTGTATTTGCTAGTGGAGAAGAGTAACATTGTGGTTTTAATTCATGTAAGTGAAGTGTTTGTGCTTAGATACGTAACATTTCTGCTAAATAATAGCTGTTTTCAGTGTTCAGAATGCAAAGTTCTAAAGTTCCGTGAAATTGTCACTTTGCTCAGAATAGACAACTTTTACAATGAAAAGGAAAGTGCATGTAGTACAATACTTATGGCTTAAAGGGACATTGTAAAACTACTTGAAGACCAGAATGTTGTAATTGGGTTGTGTAACCCACCCCACTTAATGGAAATGGTTTCAAGATTTTTTTCACCTGAGTGAAGCATCCTCATTTAAACTTCCCCTGCAGCCTTGTGAATTCCAGCAGAAGTAGTAGTAGTGAAACTCCTAAGAATCCGTGAGAAAATTCTACCCTCCAAACTGAGTGAAATACAAAAAGTGAACTGCATATTTGGGAAAAGTAAATTTGATACTTAAAATTCTTTGTTTAAACTGCTGTTGGCTAGGTGACTTAGTTTTAAATTGATTTTTTCCTTTATAATTTTCCTGACTCTTGAGAACGAATATTAAAAATGCAAAAATTATTCATCACAATGTTTCTAGCCTATTTCATACTTTCTCTCCATGTGTAGCCAGACCAGCAAACAGAAGACCTGCTAGGAATGACTGAATCCTGGTTTGCTGCCTTGTCTAGCCAGCCATTGGAACTCTTCAGAAGTATTGGTACTCAGCCATTCCCTGATCTCCACTGTGGGGCTTTAAGAGTGTTTACTGTAAGTTTCCTTTTTTTTAAAATGAGACCAGAAGTTGTAAATTCCTTTCCTAGTGATAGCATCAAGTTGTAATAATGTGTGTAAATATTATCTTTGTAGACTGATTTCTGTATACAAATCTGTGTCCAACCCTCATACATCAGACCGGAACCCAAATAGAATCCAAACTAGGCACCAAATGAGTCTGGTCTGCACTTTATATCCTCTTGTAAACTAAAAAATGAATTAAGTTTTAGCCTCTCCTCATTGTTTGGTGCCACAAAAGTGATGATCCATAATTCATTTACAATCTAAAGGGGAAAAATAACTCTAGAATCTGTGTCTAGAATTAAAATACTACTGCTTGATTGGACAGCCACAATGTCTTCTTCTAGTCTCCATCCTCCGGTTGCCCAGACTGCATATCTGATTTCAGTTGTATTCTTGTCCCTGACTATTGCTTAACAATCAGTGTATTATATTAGCATATTAAAAAAAATCCAAACTTGATTATTTTTCTTCTTTCTTGATGTTTAGGCTATTGCAAACCAACCATGGGCACAAAAACTGATGCTTGACAGTCCAGGATTTGTGGAATATATTGTAGACAGATCTGTGGAACCTGACAAAGCTTCAAAGGATGCCAAATATGAACTGGTTAAGGCCCTTGTAAATTCCAAAACAATAGCTGAAATATTTGGAAACCAATACTACTTAAGGCTGAGGGCTTATCTGCAGGAAGGTCCTTATTACGTTAAGGCTGTTTCTACTACTGCTGTGGAAGGGGCAGAATAATATCAGCGTCATCACATTTTTTCCTTTTTAGCAATCCAGTGTTACTGGAGCAGTGGTTGGTCCAAAATGGCTCCAGTTTAGAGGCTCTAACCTCATGAAAGAAACTTTAGAAAGCATTTGACTCAGTTGTTTTAATCTGAAAACAACTACGAGTCAGGAGAGTAATTCTCAAACAGCCGTAGGGCACTTTAAAGCATCATGGTGTACATAAATCCGCTTCCTGTACATTTATAATGTTGTTTTGATATAACCTTGTCTAATGACTGACATAAGCAGTTTAGTTTATTACAATTACACTAGCTACTTTTGGGGGCTTTCATGCCTACAGGAGATGGTGCAAAAATAATTGTTTTTTTTTCCAGTTTGGTTTGCTGGATGTAAGTCTTGTATAAACAAACAGTTCTGAATGTTCTTTACATCTTATGGGGAAAGTGAACATGAAAAATCTTACATTTTTAAAGATACTGTCTGATAAAGTGAGTGTTAAATCAAATTGGAAGCTGCCTTTTTTTTTTTTTTTTTTTTTTTTTTTTTTTTTTTTTTTTTTTTTTTGACCTTCTTTGTACTGCAATTAAGATAATTTGTTTAAGAGGACATTGTATGAACCACAGTCTGTTAGTCAATCTGTTTGCTTAGAAACAAATTTTAAATAGATTTTACTGTCATTTTGATCAAAAATTGATCTCTCCATTTTAAAAGTTATCACTTTTAAATTATATCTGAACTTCGGTAATGTTAGTTATAGTAAAAGTGATAAGAGCATAAAGCCTTCTGTTTAAGGACATAAATTTAGCCGTGGAGGAAGTAACTCATGGCTATAGCCCAGGGATTGGCAACCTTTGGCACGCTGCCTGCCAGGGAAATCCGCTGGTGGCCCGGGACGATTTGTTTACCTGCAGCGTCCGCAGGTTCGGCCGATCGCAGCTCCCACTGGCCGCGGTTCGCCACTCCAGGCCAATGGGGACTGCAAGAAGTGGCGGCCAGCACATCCTTCAGCCTGTGCCGCTTCCCGCAGCCCCCGTTGGCCTGGCACGGCGAACCGCAGCCAGTGGGAGCTGTTATCGGCCGAACCTGCGGATGATGCAGGTAAACAAACCGGCCCAGCCCGCCAGCAGATTTCTCTGGCAGGCCGCGTGCCAAAGGTTGCCAGTCCCTGCTATAGCCTATTATAATTTGGTAAACCACATAGGTTTTACACATTCTCTGAAGAACAGTTTGACTACTATGGAGGACAGGATTTCAGACTAGATGGGCCATGTAATGTATTTTGGTCCACAAATCAAGACTTTTATATATATTTTTTCTTCTGTCTTATTTTAACCATGAATTACATATTATTTTAGTTCCAAGGATAAAAAATAAAATATGTGGAATACTCAAAAAATGTATTAAATGAAGATAACCACAGGAAGTAGTCATAAAAATATCAAGTTGGATATCTGTACAGAAGTAGCTTGTTCATTTCCCTGCCCCCCAAATCAGGCAAATGAATAGGATGCCTTGGTTGCACTGCAGCACCCCTCTGGCTGAGCCAGGGAGAAATGGCGTTGGGCTGCAGAGGAAACAACATCCAGCTGACTGCTGCCAGATCAGTGCTGTGGTGCAGGACCTTTTAATGGTGATGCGAGGTGCAAGAGGACTTCGAAAAGCTAGAGTGTTGGGGGCGGGAGAGGAAAGGTAATGAGTAATATACTATTTAAACGCAGAATAACTTTTTATGCAACATGTCTGTCACTTATTCTTATGAACTGGAATTTTAAAAAAGATTTTTTCATTCAAGATTATACCAGTAGCGGCGTCTATATCCTATGGTTGTAGGTGCCCAATAAACACCTTAGATAGCATTACCTCTGCACAGACTGTATTGGCCAATATTAACTGTTTCGCTTTTTACGTGGGAATGGCTAATGACTGTCTTCCACTGGCACAGTGCAAAAATGTCAGAAATCCTGCATGCATGGAAAAACTTTAAAACAGTAAAAATTATGTTGAATGTAAAAATACCTTCCACTTGCGCTGGCTAGTTTAACTTTAAGATGTTAAGTGGTTTTTGTATGCTGGTTGCTATCTGAACAGTGTACTGACATTTCAGTAAACTTTTCTACAATTCGTGAGTCTCTTCCTTTATGTGATAAGTGTGAACATTTGCAATTGTCACTTATGAAAACTACTATGTATAACCAATGTTTGGGAACGTTGGCTGCATATGCTACATTTGTCTATGCAACATTTTACAATGCCACCGAGGTGTTTTCATGTTTGTATATATACACTTTTTTTTTTTTATGTGAGCTTTACTGAAAGCTGCCACTCGCTTTAATTCTGAGGGGAAAGTGTGTGTGTGTGTGTGTGTATATGTATATGTATATATGACTATATATAAAATTTTATTTTTTTTCTCCCTTCTGACAAATGCAGAGACTGATCCTTCAGTGGGTTACCGCTAGCCACTTAAGCACTGTTCCATACTCCTTCCTCAAAGCCATGTGGCTTGCATGCTGTTGATAGCCTATAATGTGCACACATGAGATATAAAATAACTTTTTTTTTTTTTTTTTTCTCCTCAATGGTTAAAGCAATGAAGCAATCGGAATTCAGGAAAATGACTTGGCAAAATCTCAGAGGTTAAGAGCTTGTCTGCATAGGGACACTCTAGTTAATTCAGTTTAACTTTCTTAAGGTGTGAATTTAAAGTGGATTAATTAAACTGCATTAGGCCCCAGTGTAGAATTAAAATGGCCTTAATTCAGTTTAGTTAATTCACTTCAAAGTGAAATAAAATAAACTGAATTAAGGTCACTTTAATTTTGAAGTTTGTCCATAAAGGGGCTTAATTTTCTAGCATGTCCCCATGTAAATGATCCCTCAGTAAAGCACAAACTCCCACAGCCCTCTTCTTTCAACTGCTCCAAAGTAAACTAACTCCTGCTAGCCAGAGCAACTGCATTGAATTAATAGCTGAGGACTCAATGTGTTCTTTCACACGCTCTTTACCTGCTTATTATTAGAACTGTTCAGAAAATGTGTGTGTCTGAAAGGAGAGGAGTCCCCTTTCACCATCGAAAATATCAATGAAAAAAGAATCCATAGAACATTTTGACTTGGTTTAAAAAAAAAAAACAAAAGTTTTCGGCCCAAAGCAGATTTGTCTTGAAAATGTTTTGACAACAACCCAATTTTCTGTCAAAGCAGTTTCAGTGGAATTTTTTCACCAACTTATCATATAAGACCAATGTAACAAAACTGGCATTAAGTCCAACATATGAGTGCAGCTCTTCCATTAGCTTCACAACTTTTATCCTGCTGCTCTCTTTGGTCATCCCTAGGGCCCTACCAAATTCCCAGTCCATTTTGGTCAATTTCACAGTCATAGGATTTTTAAAATAGCAAATTTCACGATTTTAGCTATTTAAATCTGAAATTTCATGGTGGTGTAATTGTAGGGTTCCTGACCCAAAAAGGAGTACTTGGATGAGAGACTTCCAAAGAGAACTTAAGGCTTTACAGGAAGTGGTGGCAGACATTAGGTGGCATTCTTATTGCTGATTCAATGCTGACCCCCATATTCCAACATAATTGTGTTGTATAGGGCTGCTACAGGCTATGTCTTCTGAATGAAATATAAACAGGTCATGACTGCTTGTGTTCATTAAATACAGGGCAGTTAGGTTGGGTATTCTGTGTGAAATCTGCTTATCAAGCTGTTCCCCTGGTAGTTTCAACGGGGTGCTCTATTCTTCATTCTGTCCTACACTGTTAAAAGGATGCAGAGATAACTACATTTCACTGGAGAGTGATATGATTTCCATATTTTGCAAGGTAGTTTGGGATTGAATGATGCATCACTCAGTCAAATTGGATCAAAACTAGTTGCTGCATAGAGGGGCAAACAAGTAGATGACATGAAAAAACAGTGGATATACACCAATTCTTTAAAACAGTTTTTACTTAGAAAATAAGAATTGCATGCAGTTCTACATTCTTTATGTGAAAAAAAAGCACATCCGGTGCACGCATCATAAATTAAATCACTGAATTAAAACACACACATCCTTTTTTAGCATCAGGAATAATTCACTGTCAGAACAGGGTGGGGTGGGGGGAACTTTCACATGTTAAAAACTAACGTTGAGAGGAAATGTTCAAAGCAAAAGGTGAAAGATAAGATGAACTTTCTAACAGGAAAAATTACAGTTAAAGGTGTAAGTATAGAGTTTCTTCACATAAAGAAATGAAATCTTAGTTGGTAAAATGCAAAGCCTCATTTTTTATTGTTTCCATGTTAAAATGTTTAAACTTGTCAAAGTAGGTCAAGACTCTGCAGGACACCAGCCCATAATAAGTTTCCAGTAAAGTGCAGTCTCTTCCATCACTTATCTCCTTCCATTCTTTAAATAGCTCATCTTTCATTTCGGAAGAGGTGAAAATGAATTTGTAGCAACATCGATTGTATCTAATGTGCTTTTTCCCAGAAAATCTAGAACTTTGAATGGGTATGATGCCAGCGTTCTTAGCACAGATTCCAACAAAGACATCAGGAGGAACCAAAACTGGTGTTTCCTTGGCAACAATGTATATCTTCCGAGCAACATCCTGGGAAATGACAAAAGCCGTTCCACTACAGTAATCTGGGTAATACTCTTCTTGGTATTGACTGAGAGAAACAAAGCTCTGGCTTTGAGGGTCTCTGTCAGGCATATCTTGATGAATGACCCTTCCAAAATAAATATCCTCGAGATGTGTTCTTAAGCTAAGCAAGTATTCAGCCAAACTTGGAATGTTGACAAACATTTCTTCATTGGTTTTGAGAATAAACCTTGCGGTGGAACAGAATGTTACAGTCCACTCCATGCTCATCACAGTCTTCAGTGTCTGATTCTCAAAAGAATCAAGGAAGTTTCCTTCAATGATGTCTCCATGCTTTTGAGACTCTTCACTGATGTCTAACTGGATGGCTTCTGAAGCTGCCTTTCCTAAAGCAAACAAAACAAGCACAGCATACCCCCTGATGCCTGTCACATTTCCCCATGTTCGTCTGATCAGGTTACGCCTTGTGTTGTTTTCTGGGCTGCTGCACACAATAACAAGCAGAAATACCTCTCGATCTGAGCACACCTCTGAACTGCTGATGATGTAAGATTTGGACATATTGGTCTTTAGGGGATCCATGTCTAATTTCCTGGCCTTCTCCCTGATTTTGAGAATTTTCATGTCAGTGTAGGTGACAGGTAGCGAATGTAGAAAGTATTCCTCCAGCAAATCTCCTCCAAACAGCAAAGCATGGAAAAGCATGATGTTGAATATAATAAAACACCACTGATGTGTCCGAAGCCTGCAGAACATCACCTGGAGAAGAGATGGACATTCACTTCTACCTCTAACTGATTATACCGGTAGTCATTTCAGATGATACCGGGCTAATGTAGAGCCAGGACATCCTGGTTCTGTTTCTCTGCTCTGCTATTCTGGACAAATTACGTTTCCTCTCTGGTCTTTACTTTCTCCGTTTGTGAAATAGAGAATGATGCCCACATT